AATAGATTGGTGTTCAAAACAGGTTCTTCATGTATTAACACCCTGGTTAGAGACCAGCTCCCACTTAGAGATGAGGCTATACACTTTGTTATCCTTTTGACTGCTGATGGAAGAAGACTTCACTCGACCGAGTTAACCCTTTGTGTTAGCGTTTCCCTTTAGTTTTACACTTCATCACTTGTTTTGTACAGCTTGTACTGTACAGCCTGTAATTGTGCAGCTTGTACTATACAGCTTTTTCTAGATCATCGTTTTTATCAGTTATTCATATGCTGCACCCTCTACTAATTGAGAATTCTATGCAATCTCTAAATCAATCAAACAATGTTGTATTAATAATGTTCTGTTAATAAAATTGCTCAAAAAGCTTTCTCAAAATGAGCAGTTTTGTTCTGTAGATATTTTGTTTCCAGTGACTTCTGCCCCTTGCCATCTAAATTTAGATTGTTTGCTCTATACTTTTGATTATGTTACTTTGTGCTTCAAAGTAAGTGTATAACAATAAAAGGAGGCAGGAATGGTGAAGGAAGAGGAAATTATGGTTGAATTGAGGTTTGAATCCACAGCTTTCCTTATGTTAATTACTTTTCAGCACTAGGTTTAACTTTAACATGGAATTTGTTTTAATTGTTCAAGTGTTACCGTTCAGTCCATGTTATACTTCAAATATATGAAATCTGCTGGGAAACACTTTCTTGGTCCAGTGAGGAAAAAGAAGTACAAGCACTCCTAGACCATGTGGATACATTCAATGTGATTTGAGGAATATGTTTGTGAACTTTTCTGAGTATTTAGCCTTTTTATGGTGCTATCTGCTACCATAATGAAATATTTGATAACTTCCACTGGAATAAAGCACAAAATGATAATTTGTGACTACTGAGGCAGTTAATATACTGTAAGTCTGAAACATTGGCACAATAAGAAGTAAGGAATGGTTCTAATGTTTCCCCAAGATCAGGTGTTTTAGAAACAGGTGTTTTAGAATGAAATTTACAAGAATCCTCCAGTTCTGCCCTTTGGAATAGATCGGTTTTATGTCAAAATAATGCCATGCACTTAAGAATCACAGATTCGATTCAAGATTAATTGATTGCATTTGGATCTTCGTTAGGATAGAAATAATGTTGTAGGTTTCACTGAAGTAAGTGGGGTTTATTTTAAACTTAGCCTAGATTCAAACTAATGCATGTCATCTGTGACTTTTTTCTCTTTAAAATTACTTCCTTCCATTAGTGTATTGTATATACTTTCTAAAATTCGGCTGCATTTGAACTTATGCTAACTTGTTCTGAAAATAAACTTCATTGAAAACATCATGTTTTCTATTGTGATGTAAATAGGAGAATGTGGTAATCAACTGTAAATATGTCTTCTTAGCAGATGTTGACTTCACTACTTTTGATTTCCTATTGACATTTTCTTTGATATAATGTTGCAACAACAGTTCTTCTCTGCAAATTAGAAGCAGATGAGAAATAGGTTAAAATATGTAGTGACTTGCCCAATGCACCAATAATAAGGAATAACATTTGTCATACATATTCATTTGGGAAATCAGACAGACCTAATGTTTACCTTATTTGTTTCTCCTACTCATTTCATTTTGCCTGAAAGAAACAGATGGTATGTGACTTGTTTATTTGTTTACATTGGTTAATTGAGGCTCCATGCAGAAAATACTGTTTACAGAAAAATAACCTTTAAATAATGCCAACTTTATATGCCAAAATTAATTTGCATCTGTAATGAAGATTCATAATATGATAATTTTATATCTGAGATTTTGCTTTGTAAAGGTGGCATTTCAGTTTCTCCTATATATTCATGTATAAGTCTTGAAATTTTAGTAAAAAAAATCTCTCCCCCTGGCCAAAACTTATCCACAGATCAATGTGAATACTGTACCTTATTTTTATTAAACAAGAAGAAGCATCTTTTTATCTGAGTAGAATGGCTAATGGTGAGAGTTTAACCCATTCTGGAATAACCTAAAAGAGACACCCATTCTCTGAACTCTCTTCACTATGTGCTACTTTTCAAGTTTTGAATGCCTGGATGGGAAAACATTCGTGAATGGTTCCTGTCCCTTTCTGGATTATGCTTATAAAACTGACTAAAATGCCATGTATTTAATCTTTGATTTATTGCAAAATAATGACTAGAAAGGGAAGGAGTAGCAAAAAAAGTATGTGCCTAGTATGTGCCTAGTATGTGTAAAGTATATTACATCTTGAGTCCCTCTGTGCACAGAATTGACAAACCAGACACCTGTTGTCTCGATTTTTTTTTTCGTGTCAGGAGCAACTTGAGAAAGTCACTTCTGGTGTGAGAGAATTGGCTGTATGCAAGGACGTTGCCCAGGGGAGGCCATCGTTTTATCATCCTGTGTGAGGCTTCTTTCATGTCCCCACATGGGAAGTTGGAGCTGACAGATGGGAGCTCACTCCACTCCCTGGATTTGAACCGCTGACCTTTCAGCCAGCAGTCCTGTCAGTATAAGGGTTTAACCCATTGTGTCACCCAGGGCTCCTGTAGTATGGATAGAAGCAGGTGTACCAATGCTACTTATGTTTTGGAGTGTCAAATATATGGAACCCCCATATAAATAAACCCTGATGTGTTGTTGTTTGTATGCTTAATTTGGTCCATAATTTTAATGTTGACAGTGGTGGACAGGACTACAGGGAATGAAGCATTGATCTGATGAGGAAATGCAATCCAAACTCCCTGGGAATGGTAGATACCAAGTACCAAAACTCTGGAACTCCCAGAATAGTTGGCCATTGTCCAAAGTGGCCAAGGCTATTGGGTGTTGAAGTCAAAAACATCTAGTGGATCAGAGTTTGGGAATTACTTATTTAGGTAATGGTGGGGAATCATATGGCCTTTAACTGCAAATCTCACCTGCCGTAGCCAACATAGATGAAGGAGAGCAGCACAGGGAGCTGCAGTCCAGCAGCCCCTGTTGGGCCACAAAATGTTCACCACTGATTTAGAAGCTGTAAAAATGATTGGATATTTATGGTAAATAGACAAAACTACTACTGAGTATTTCTTGCCCAAGAAAGCCCGAGGAAATCCATTGGGCATGATGCAAATAAATGCACCATTCCCAATATCAACATATTGATTTTAGAGTTATATTTGGTATTTCCACAGGTGGAACCCTTTTCTGGTATTTGTATGCCCTCCAGTTGAAAGGTAGCCTATCTGACCGAGAGTGTTCTCAGATTTATATGAGTCACTTCTGGTTTATATCAGTGGAACAATAAAAGCTATAGCCAAGAGTCACATCACATTTTTCAACATTGCCTTGAAAAGAACTTCCAGTAATGTTTCTTTGCTTTTTCCTCTGGGTCAAAATTCACATGGGCTTTGCAACAATTTAATGAGTCTTGGAATAGAAAGTGTGATTCAGAGCTTGAGTGAGAACTTAACTGTGTGCAACATGTTCTACCAACAAAACATAGTACTTTATGGTCAGTGTTGAAATGGGTTTGAGCACATTTAATAAAGCTGTACTGCCACCTTGTGGAAATCATATTTTTCATGAACAATTGGGATGATGGCAGAAGTATTGAAAAGTGAAAGCTTATAAAGAAGGAAATACTACTTTTCATACATACAGCAGTCTTTTGGCTTTTAGATGCCACCATCAGATCCATAGTTGCCTGTATCTGAACAGTAGCTGTCTAACTGAAAAAAATTAATGTAATTTCCATTTCAAATTTCCTCCACTTCCTTCTCATCTCTCTTTCCTCTTGAACTTCATAGTGCATTATGGTGATAACGGATTAATATACACTGTGTGCAAAAATAGGTAATGTTTAAAAATTTAAATTAGCAAAATGGTTTGAAGTTGATATTGCTTTAAAGCTGCCTAGATAATTCATGTCTTGATGTTACTGAATAGGAGGTTTGAGGGTGCACCTGCTCTGTGTAATGAATGCAGTTTGACACCTCTTTAACTGCCCTGGCTCAGTGTTATGGAATCCTGGGAACTGTAGTTTAGTGAGGTGCTATCACTCTTCGGCAGAGAATGCTAAAGACCTTGTAAAACTGCATCCTGAGACTCCAGATGTATAGAATTAGAACTGCGTGGGCAAAGATGACTTCTACAAAACAAGAAGCTGAGTCAAAGATGTCCCTTTGGGCAATTGGCAGATACAATACTTAGCAGATACAATACTTCCCAGGCTGCCCATAGCAGATGTGCTTTGTGTTGCAGTGATCCACACACTTCTGGGAGTGGCTGAATTCATGTGGTCTGCTCCCATATATATGTGTGTGTATATCTACTGCTATTTGGGACTCATAGTAGTCAGGAAAATGTTTTCGCAGGATTGGGGTGAAGGAATGTATTTCTCCTTTCTCATATTGCCCCAGGTGATGCAGCACTACAGGACTCTTCCATTGCAGGTGGCTATCAGCCCTGCACTTCATTACTGTATACAGGAAGTCCCCAAGCCACAAACAAGATAGGTTCTGTAGGTTTGTTCTTAAGCTGAATTTGTACATAAGTTAGAACAGGTATATGTTTCAAGTGTAAATCCACACACGTACAGCGCTTTGGATAGCACAGGAAAGGGTTAATACCCCTGTGGTGTTTGTTTTGCTGTATGTGCTCCGTTCAAAAGATTTCACCTCACTTTCTGTCCATGTGATAATTGGATTTTGAAAAATCTGGCTTGTTGTGGAAATAAGGATTGGTGACAAAGCTTCAGTGTAGACACCTTTTTCCTATGATAACTCTTTCATTAGTGAATTTCCCTTTCTAGGGGCAGATTTCTCTCACTTCCGGTTGTCTCATCCCCATTCTTAACTATGAGTTGTTTGTAAGTCGGATGTTTGTAACTTGGGGACTACCCCTAGTGGCAGATCTTCCTAGAGAATCAGAAAGAGAATCATTAAAATAATTGTACAATAATTATACACAATAAAAATACTTTTGGACATTGGGAATTTTGCATTGTAAATGTTTTTCTTCTTTGCTCTAGACCAGTGTAAAGGAAGGATTACTTTTGAAGCAAACCAGCTCTTTCCAGAGGTGGAAAAAACGTTATTTTAAACTACGGGGGCGTACTCTTTACTATGCGAAGGATTCAAAGGTAAGGATTTATCCTGTTAGCAATTAATGTAATTGCTCAGTCACACTAATGGGACTTGTTTATCTTTTCGTTATTGCAATCGCAGATTTAAAGCAGCATTCATTACCACTTTCATAATTAACTTTATATAATAAAATGATATATCATCTGTAGTTCTTTTCCTAATTTCTAAGACTCTTAGGGGGGAAAGCCCAGATAAATAGCAGTTCAGCTTTTCATATCTGCCAGAAAATGTTAAGGAATCTTACAAAATAAAAATCCCGTTCTTGGTGTTTGTTCCAAACTGACCCTAATTAAAGTTGCTGTATCTGTGATCTAAAATGCCATAAGGTACAGTTGCTGTGATCTAAAAATTCACATTGCCATAAGGTACATTTAAAAGATCTCGACATCACAAAGAAATAGAGGGTGAATCACATTGGAAGTTTTTCACTGCTTCAACATCAAAGATTCAGTGCAGCCATTCTCTTACTGTTTTTGCTGGCTTATATCAAAATATAATGATACCTTTGTTTTTCAGAGTTCTGGACCTCTGTATTGCCCTCAAAGCAGGCCTCAAATAATGCTTAAAATTCAACTAATGAATTCTAATGTTTTTGAATATCAACTCCTTTCATCTCAGTTAACATAGCTAACAATGAAGGAAAATGGGAATTCCAGTACAGTTACACCTGCAGATTACAAATTCCCCTCCCCAGTCAAGGAGAAGGTATAAAACATCAGGAAAAGAATATGTTGACAACTGCTTAGAGTCCCTTGTGTGCAGAAACCGCACATTTCAGATCAATATGATAAAACTAGATGTTTTGGACTACACCATTTGCACTCTTGACCATTGGCTATTCTAAGTAGGATTGCTGAGAACCTGAGCTCCCAAGTATGCGGAGAGCAACAAGCTGGCTACAGTTTCCCTTTGTTCAGTGTTATATTTATGCACAAGAATAATAACACTGATGATGTATTGGAATGAAAAAAAAACATTCAAAATGCTGTAATACATACGCTTGGTATGTTGTTATAGATTGAACATCCTTGTTCATTTTTCTTTTTGAAAGCAATAACTTGCCATTTCAGGTATATTGCAACTTTTTAGACACCCCTCTAATTCTCATAGGTGTGTAGCATGTTTTCATGTGATATTCTTATCTAAAGAGAAATTATTTCTAAATGTCCCTGTAATAATTGGAGAATAATTAATGTCCATTTAAATTGGAGAATAATTACTGTCCATTTAAATTTCCAAGTGATTTTTTTTTTTGCAGATTTTGGTGAATTAACACCCCTCCCCCCAATGTTTCTTACAGAAGAGAAAAATGTCTTGGTCTACAGATTAAGACAGAATTCACAAATTACTAGAGTTTCAAAGATTGGAGAAGTTATTGTTTGCCAAATACTACAGAAGGAAATATCAGAGCCCCAGGTTAAGAGGATAGGATTGTGGCAGAAATTAATACATCTGTAATGACAGGAAATAAAGAAAGCCTTTGGTCCATTGTGTTCAAGCCTCTTTAGAAATTCTTGAAAACCAGATTACCAAGAAACTGCTCTGGTCATTTTGCAGTGATATCAGAGGGAATTAAGGGAATATAAGCCCTTATTAGTTCAATTTATGAGGTCAACGTGAGTTTGATTAAACACATTTTTGGGAAAGAGCCTTAGGAATGTTTCCTGTTAAATTAAGGTATATTTCACTTACTGGAAACTCTTTGATAGCTCTTTTCCTAAATTTTGTGATCATATATTGCAGCCTCCATGTTTCTGGATTTAGAGTTTAAAATTCAAATCAAGGTCTTAGAAATTTATTTATTTACTATATTTATATCCTTCTCTCACCTCAAAGGGGATTCAGGGAAGCTTACAGTATGACAATATTCAATGTGGCATATATAACAAGTAAAATACAATATATCACTTATATAAAACATATTAAAACATATCAATACCATAAAATGATTAAAATTGTGATACTTAGTCCAGGAGTTGTCAATTGTGTCGCAACAATTAGGCCAGTTCTCTATTGCACTATCCAAATGCCTGTTCGATTGGTTGCTTGATCTTACAAGGATAATGTGCAACACAAGCTATCAAGCTAAGAAGCATTATGCTAATGTTGGCAAAGCATTCATTCTCTGTCCAAAAAACTTTTTCTGGACAAAATGCATCTGAAATAATCAGTTCAATAGGAAAGCCTAAGGGGACTTCTGACTCATGAAATATGGGCTGAATGAGAGAATACAATAGAGAATTGTGCTAGTGAAGAGTCATGGGGAAGAATGATATCGAAACTAACTGAATCCTTGGTTTATCTGCAGAACGAAGACACATTAGTGTGAGGGATACAAAAATAGAAAACAATGATCTTGATTTTCAAAAATAGTTATATGGTTTTAAATAAAGTGCTAAGACTTTTGTGGTTTAGTCTGAAAATGGAGGGAACATATGTTAGGTTCTATCTACTGCATAGAAGGTTGAATGAGGCGCTTTGTGTCTTGGTTGATTTTTCATCAGATGCCTAGCGCAATTCCCAGGCAAAAGAAGAACATCAGGTGTACTTGTAATCAGTAATTTACTTAAGGAACTCATAGATAGGTAGAGGTCATTTGGGATTGATTGTTTTCCCTGGTGATTCAAAGCAACCTTTCTGGTTAGCAACTGTATGATTTCACTCTGGTAATTAAATCAAGAAATAGCTGCATGCACATGTAGATCCAGATCTTTAATGGCATTCTTGGATATGAAGCTCTTTTTCATGATCAGGCAGCTGGTGCATCTGAACCCTTTCTTTAATGTGCGACTCTCAGGTCTAGCTATTAGAATGATTTAATAGCTAAATATGCAAGCCCTGGGTTTTTATATTTTTCTTTTTCTTTGAAAAAAGACTAAAATAGTAACAAAAAGCTGAATTGCCATGTATGTAGAAGTGACATATATCTCTATTTTATTTTCACAGTCGTTAATATTTGATGAAGTTGATCTGTCAGATGCCAGCGTTGCTGAATCGAGCACAAAAAATGTCAACAACAGCTTTACGGTATGCCGTCAATATACTCAACTGTTACTAATGTAATCTGTAATGTTTTGAGTTTTTCAATTTGATTACTTAAAAAAACTATTAGAGAAAAATATTTCCTGCTGCACCTAAACAGTATATCTGCTGAATTATCCTCTGTTCAAAGAGAGATGTTTTTTTTTAAATGTGGAGGACTTTTATTTCCCTCACACCCGATGATAAAGACTCCAAGTGCAGCTCACAAAAATCTATGAAAAGACAGTCTCTGCTCTCACTGTTACAGTATGAAAGAGACAAGTGGAAAGAGGCTGATCCTTTTATAACGAAATATAAAGTTACATTGTTTAGAACCAAATCTGAAAACAGCCCCAGGGACTGGATTCCAATTTAAAGGAAATTGTGGTGGGAGGTGGAGGGAGAGTGCAGTGGCAGGAAACATCAAAAACACAGTAGGCGAGGCCAAAGCAAAGTTAGTGGGACAGTTATAAACTTAACATTTCAGATATATTCCATCAAACTTTGGAGTACACATATGTAGGAGTACACCTCAGTATAGGTTGCTGTGAGTTTTCTGGGCTGAATGGCCATGTTCCAGAAGCATTCTCTCCTAACGTTTCACCCACATCTATGGTATACATCCTCAGAGGTTGAGGGGTCTGTTGGAAATTAGGCAAGTTAGGTATATATATATATGTGGAACCTCAGTATATGTCAATAATTGTGATCATTATTTTTGTCTTCTTAATATTTTTGTCTTCTTAATATTTAATTCTAACCCTGCTTTTGCATTTTCCTCTTTAAATTTCATCAGTAGTCGTTCAGTCTTCAATGTTTTGTACAATATATTGTCATCTTGCGTGTTCCTTCTCTAAGTTTTCATGCCTGTTTCTGCTAAGTGTGTTATGTGTTCTGTGTATCAATTAAACAGATAAAAGGGCAGCAATTTCCCTTGCTGATGGGAAACTTTTTCTGAGAGTTGTCTCTTGTAAAGAGTGTAGTCAAAGGTTGTGGTAATCCCATATCTTTTAGAGCCAACCTGAAGAATGGTCCTGTCGGAATAGGATGTCTACGCAATATGTTCAACCACAGCCTGAATCACTGTCTGGGAGCAAGGGTAGATCCAGGAAGTCTCAAGTGATGTTTATTTGAGGGTAGAAAAAGGAAGGAAATCCAAAACGTTATTTTGGCTACACTAAAATGTCAATATAATTAGTTGAACACAGTTATTGCAGTGACTGGAGCAGATCTGCCCTCTATCTTACACCCTAATAAATGTCCATTAAAGCTAAGAGAAGATGACAAGAGACTTCTTTTATCTGCCTGCAGTTTTAAAGAAGAAATGACCCCTTTTGAAAAAGATCGAGTCTGTTTCCTGTTAAATCATGTATGTGTATGATTAAAAAAAAAAAAACAGACAGCACTGCCAAGTTTGTTCCAGATCACAGAAGATGCAGTTAATCAAGTAATGTATATGTTAAAGGGATTAACAAGCAGATCTGTTTAAATGTATTAGCAAAACATTTCAGTTTCCCCTCTTATTTATAGTTGTTCAAATGTTGCCCAGAATCTGTTTAATTTTACATATTTTTTGGGCTGTTTAAGAGAGCCCTCAGAGAATACTTTTCATTTTTAGGGATCTGAGAAAATTGTCAGCTTGTTAAACCAAGAGGTGTTCCAGTTACTGTAATAAAATATGGAACAAACAAATACATGAATAAATCCCTACAAGAAAACCAACAACATGCTTCTTTGAAACTATTTACTCCCTATTGCTCAGATATTTTAATTTGTACTGAACACATATGAATTTGTTGTCTTTTGTTGATTAGTTTGAATATTTCCCTGAATATCTCATATGTATATACAGTTGTGAAAATATTTTTAATTTAAATAATCCTGATAGGAGAAACTGATACAAAATTGGGAAAAATATTTATGAATTACAAGATAAATATCATTGATTGCTTATATCTAGTAACAAAATTGGCCTATGTAGTTACAACCAGAATTCTACAAGATTCATGTTTACATTTACCTTGTTCTTACGTTCTGTGTTGATTTGTCCTCACTTACAGCATTTCAGAATAATTATATCAATAGGTCTTTTACAGGTAATTACACCATTCAGGAGATTAATATTGTGTGCAGAGAACAGAAAAGAGATGGAGGATTGGATCAGCTCACTGAAGTCTGTACAATCTCGGGAAAACTATGAGGTAAATCAATGATACTATTGATAAATCTTGTCAATTTTGATTTAACATGTGAAAAACCCTTCTGAATAAATGATTTTAATATGCCGTATATGTGGGAGGAAGAAGTTGCAATCTTGATGAAGTATTAAAAACGCCATAGAACCAAAATACAGATTTAATTCAAGATAGCTAGATAGCTAGTTAGATATATTTTATATTACTTTTGTTTCAAGAGACTAGGACATATGCATTACAAGACAAAATGTTAAAAAATGAGGTGTTTTTATTTTTGTAGTTATTTTCTGTACTTGAACATTTGTTTTAATTTCCCCTTCATTAGACTGCACAGTTTAATGTGGAACATTTCTCAGGAATGCATAACTGGTATGCCTGCTCCCATGCTCGACCCACCTTCTGCAATGTATGTAGAGAGAGCCTTTCTGGAGTGACTTCTCATGGCCTGTCTTGTGAAGGTAAAGTTAAACATTGCTCCCCACCCTCACATTAAGTATTGTGGTGTAGCATAAGACATTATCTTTGATGTACCAATAGTCATCACCATGTAATAGATACGCTTTCCTTTTTTGAGGCCTCAAAATGGTATTCCAGCCTTGGGCTTCCTTTGGCCAGCAGCCCCCTTTCCTTTGACTCACCCATGATCCTACCTCCTTTCCAGCTACAGGGCTCCACTCGGCTGCTGGTCGGCCAAAGCCCCATAGCTGGATTTTTTTTCCACTGCATAATAGTTGCACCCACTTTTTTGGCCAAAAAAGGATAAAAAGTGTGATCATTACGTGGTGAATATGATATATTATTACGTAATGAATCATTATTTTGAAGTGATAATGCCCCTGAAAGATTAGGTGCATTTGTAGATACAATATTCAGAGAACACCTCAGGAATGTGTTTCTCCTGTTTCCCCCCTAGTTTGCAAGTTTAAGGCTCATAAAAGATGTGCTGTCCGGGCAGTAAACAATTGCAAATGGACAACGCTGACTTCAATTGGAAAAGATATTATTGAGGATGAAGATGGTGTAAGTATTTGTATAAAATCACAAACAGCACATCACTGCCTTCATTTTATAGTAGTTAAAATAATTATAGCTGATTATGGATCCTGTCTACTTTAGGGCAAAATTAATCTTCTTAGAGCAAAGCATAGGAGAGATCAAATTCCATCTTTTGTGGCCTGTGTTTCTTTGTGATACAAGATCATTTTCTTCTGCAGGAAGTGATTGCATTTTTAGGTATTTCACAATAGATTGCCCCCTCCCCCCGCCCCGGTTTTACACACCAGAAGGTTAAAGGGCTTTCTTTCCATAGCCAATATACAAACATCACTGTTAGAAGTCTGAAGGTCAATAATATCATGGTATAGAGGGCCATAGCCAATCAGTTYGTGGTTTCCAGAAGTAGCACTGCTCACCACCCCAGAGTCAGTCTACAATKCTTTGTGGAATCCCTGGGGCACCATTCARTTAGGCAACATGACATATGTTCTGTTATACTTGGTAAATATGCACAGCCTAAAAGTTCTCCAAATGAGTTAGAAAATATGTAGTGAGGACAATGCTGAATTTTGAGAACCACGGAAGCAAAGTGATTTTCCCCCCCCCCCCCCCCGCCTCCTTTTGGCCATGACATTTCACTGTAGGTGGCCATGCCTCACCAGTGGTTAGAAGGAAATCTGCCTGTGAGTGCCAAATGCGCAGTCTGCGACAAGACCTGTGGCAGTGTCCTACGCTTGCAAGATTGGAAGTGCCTTTGGTGTAAAACTATGGTATGTTCAAATGGTTGAATTCTTTTTTTTTTTAAATACCTTTTTGATTCCCCTCAGCATGGTTTGTGATGAGCTTTAGTTTTGACTGGAGATGTCAACTTACTGACTCTTCTTTGGTAGATCAATCAAAGAGCTTTTGAGCAATTAATAAAAATAATAAACAATGTAATTCTAATTTATGTGCATTCTGGGAAAGGTTTCCGAGAAAGGTTTCTTTTTAAGATGTTTCTAAGATGTTGAATTTATCACTCATTATTTAATAGTACTAATAACTGTCCATATAGGATGTAACTCTTTGAACCTGTGGCCACCTCTCTTTCCATATGGTCTTTTAGTGACAAGAATGTCTTCTAGGTTAGTGAATGATCAATACCTTCCAAGCACAATTTTTCTTTTCCCCAAGGATATATTGTATGATAGCCACAATTTGCATTTCTCTTTAAATTAGTTACTGATTTCCTTAGAGCAGAGCTTTCTAAACATTTCATCTTGGTGACCCATTTTTTTAGATTTGCATTGCAATACAGTAATTCAGGTTAACTAGCAAACCAGAGGTTAAACCAAATCTTTATAAGAGATACAGACACATACAGGAGTCATAATAACAAAATGTATGTGAAACAACACACCTCATGAAAGTGCTTCATTTATATAATTAAAATCCGTGATTTATAAGATAATAATATACATTTTCAAAATTTTTGTCATTTCTTGTTACATTTGGGCAACACGCCTACACACTGTAGCTGACACACTAACATGTCTTGACACACAGTTTAGAAAGCTCTGCCTTAGAAGATGATGTTTAGTATCTTCTTTCTAGATGCTAAAACAATAGGGAATAGTTTCTAAATGAGCCAGATTCTGACCTGTTGTGTTGTTTATTTGTTAGTGCTCAGTGAACAACAAAACCAAGGAATACATTTGTCAGACTTCTGGTGAACTTCTTGCCATATATTGATTGCAGGCTGCATTCAGCCTAATGGTTCAGAAATTGTACTTGATTTCTTCTTTGCAAATGATCTTACTGATCTATACAATTTGGTTATATAGCTTTTGCTGTCATATTTGGGTTGCTTAATACCAGGGGAATATTCCCAGGCAGCATTGATAATAACAACTCACACATCCATTATTAAATTTTTCCTAGGTGCACACAGCTTGCAGAGATTTATATCCCCGCAAGTGTCCACTTGGCCAATGTAAAGTATCCATTATTCCTCCCACAGCACTGAACAGCATTGACTCTGATGGTATGTATGAGTTCTGACATCTTTCTCTTTCACATAAGACTGATATGCTTGAAAATAGGATTGGGTATACGGGCATTACATAGTAGTGTAGGGTAACACAGGGTATATTTTAATGTGACAATGCCGTTTTTAGGCCATTCTTGTAGGCCTTGCCTCAGTGCCATTATGCAGGACAAGGCCTTGCATAAGTCAGTGAGGATGTTCTTTCTGGCAGTCAGGCAGAGGGTAGTGGTGCTAATTACAAAAACAAGAACTACTTCATGTCAGTGTAATCCTAGATGATATTTATAGATCCAGATAGGTGCTAAGGTATTTTATCCATATGTTTTGTGTTGGAAATGAGTGGACATGCACATGACAGTGCACAGAGAGAATATTGAACATGACCCTGGACGTATTTCCTCTGACATTGCCAAAGAAAAGTGGGTTGAATCCTAAAATCCCATAATTGGAGTTTCATTCATAGAAAATACGTTCATAGCTCTCAGGGGAAGTGGCTTTTGTTGATCTCTCTGTGTCGCTCCTAACAATGTGGTCTGGAAATTTATAACTGAGATTTGTGTGGGCAGAGAAGAGGAGTCAGGGGAAATAATTTCTCCTTCCCATTTCTATTTACAAAATCCAGAAATGGATTTGTTGACTCTTTCCATGAAGGGAAGCTCATCTCTAAGGCAATGAGTGGAATGTTATGGAATCATGCAGGTGAACACTAGACTATCAAATCCAAATGCAGACTACAAATAGCATGCTCACTATCCTTGTGCAGTACACCTTCATGCACACAGGTGATATCTTCTATGTATTCTCCCAGAGTAACTTTGTCTTGTACTTTTACCCATTTTAATGGGAGATGATTAATATGGTCATCAATGCGTTTGGGTACAAACACTGATGTAACATGCATATCTAGGGTATGCAAAATAGGATGAAGGAAAAACATTACGTAATTGCTTTACAAATTTTTAGAAACCAGTGTTAGCACATCATGAATTGGTAGCAGAAGTAACTATAAAGTGCTAGGAAAGGACTGTGCTGAAGAAAAGGGTTCCAATAATGAATCCGTTCTGGAAGTTTTGAAGATCCTCCAGAAGAAGAAGCACAGGATAGAACCCTGCATTGGGAACCAGAAGGATTGACAACAGTCATCTCTTCTCTCCCAATTTTTTAAGTGCGGGTCTCCACTTGACCAGCCCCTTTCTGGGTGGAAGGAATAATCTGTGATCCAAACCATTATTTAGAAATATTGATCTGTACAGCCAAAATGGGAAGCACAACTTGACCAATGACTAGTTTCTAAGTGAGATCCGACTTATGAAAATGTGCTTGCTAGCTGGATATTGAAGGATTAAGAGAGGGATCTAGTCAGAGTATGTCTTAGCTTAGGGCTGAAAGGGACACATTGCAAACATATCATTAATTCAATATATTTTTAGTATTTAATAATGCGGATGCTTTCAGCAGATGTTCATGTGCTGTATGTAATAATCAGCTGACATCTTTGGCTAAAGTAGTACTATTGTGGTTGTTTTGTAATAGCTCTCATTTTAGTGCTGTCAGCTTGCTTGCGTCTTTTAGAATAAGTATTAATATCAGATGGAATTGTATCCTATTTCCTATTCTTCTAATCTCACATTTTTTATGTTTGGAATTTCATAACCACTTTATCTGTTTGGATTTATTCATGTTTTTTTATTTAAAAATTGTCAGAACATGCCTGACACTCAATGGTATCTGGATGCAATTTTCATAGCATTATTTCATATTTATTAAGAGATGCATTCTAAAGTTGCTGGAGCCATGGATACAGTTTTATTGTTTTTGGAAGTGCTCATAAAGACAAATGCTGTTTTTTAAAAATAAAACCTGCTACTGTTCTTTGCTGCCATAAGTGTGTGGCTGGCTAGACTGGATATTTGGTGGGAAACCATTGTAAAGATGTCTTGCACTGCACAAAGAATCCTTTTCCAGTGGGTAGGTGCCAGAGCTTGCCACCAAATTACGTTTTGTGTGTGGGTGGTGGTGGTGGTGGCGGCGGCTTCCTTTATCTGAAAAGGGGACAATGAGACTTTGGTTCTTTCTTTGTCTGATAAACTACTTGTAGTGAACTTGCTAGAGAATAGAGAGGAATTTGGCTCCCTCTGTCATATTGACATCATTTTATTCCTTGCCTATTTGCAGGATTCTGGAAAGCCACGTGCCCACCAACTTGTGCCAGTCCTCTCTTGGTTTTTGTTAATTCAAAGAGTGGAGACAATCAGGGAGTAAAATTTCTCCGACGATTCAAGCAGTCGCTAAATCCAGCTCAGGTGTTTGATTTAATGAATGGAGGTCCTCATTTAGGGTAATGAGTTTTGCTGTCTTTCTGGTATTGTTTTTCTTTTTAAATGATCAGAAAAGATTATTGTAAAATCGCTCCACTTAAAGCATACTTAATTCTACTGGTGTTTATTTTTCTTAGCTCTTTAATGTGATAATGGTTACATCAGAGTTGTAAGTTTTACGTCACAGTAATTCTGATGTTCACAGAACATTTAAGAGCACATCTCCTTTTAACAAATACACACAATGTACAGATTGATCCCCAGATTTTGAGAAACATAATCTTTTATGTCTATTTTTATGTATGCTTCATTTAAAAATATTAGCCCTATGCTCATGAATACCCAGAGCCTTCTCTTACAAGGTTTTAATGTCATAGGTACTAAGATGAAATGTTTTTTCCCCTTCTTTATAGCTATTATTGTGGCTCAGTGCTACTTTGCACTCTGTGCTTTAGGTGGACACCTCAGATACTCTGGCAGGAAAATGTTTCCTACTAAATATACAATAACCACCACTTGGGTTTGCTTTTGCAGCTCTCTGGGCTACTTTGGAATTATACCTTTAGCATCTTGCATCATGCTGCTGTGAAAGTAATGGCTTTCACCATTTTACTCTAAAAATAATTTGCTCATCTAAACAGAAGTGCTGTTTTATCCTTTGCAACAAGGCGTGCTTTGAGTGGCAGTGATAAACTAGGTCCTTCTTCAAAGCTCTTGTTGCATGACACGAAGGGGTTTTATGGCTGTTCAGAGACTTGTTCAGAGTGATCTTGAACTGATGAATGTTAGAGGAAATCCTGCCCTCTCTCTGCATTACATATGCTCAAATTTGCGAAAGCTACTGTCTCCTACGGCCCTTTTTGATCACAAAAAGAGAAACTTCATTTGGAATGTTCTTCTCTTAATCTTTTCTTTGTTGCCTTATTCCCCCTTCTCTTTTCTTCTCTTTGTTTCAACTTGTTCCTTTGGATGACCTGATACTATTACACTTTCCATCGCCAAAAGAGAAAGGTACAGACAGTAGCAAATGTCCAGGGTTCTCACCTCATTCTTGCCAACTATTCTGATCAGTGATCCATGATTTTGCCCAGAGTCAATATTGGTCCCCATTTTGGATCACTCCAAACACCAGTAACATTTATCTATGAGTTCTCATGTCTATTATTAGGATATTTGATATTATTGACTGCTGCCATCACAAGTCCGCTCTGAGGGAACCTTTAATGTTAGATGCCACTACTATATCAACTGACTGGAGAATAGCTCTTCTTGCATGACACGAAGGGGCTTTATCACGGTTCTCTTCATCACCATAAGTATTGAAGCAGTGAATCTCCACCATGATTCACCCCTTCATCTTCATTGGATTATAGGCTGACAATGCTGATTTTGAAATTACTTTGCTACCAACTACTGTTTCTGCTCAACTGGTTCCAATAGCACTCATGGAGTATTGTGTATCTATATGTTGTACACTACCCCTTATGGCTACTCCTTATATACTTATGTATAAGGTGACCTCATGTCTACTTCGAGGACAGGTTTGTTTTTTTTTGGGGGGGGGGAAGGGCAAATATTTTCAAAAAGACCAAAAGTGGTATCATGACAGGTTAGAGAGAGACAGTTCTCTTTCATGGGATGGACTAAGTGTTTGCTTTTTATCATTCTACTCAGAGCAGAGCAAGAGATAGATGTTTACTGTTTATAACAGTTAAGATACACTCCTTATATATGCATGGATAACTCAGCTTAGGGGTTTTTTAGTTGATCTTTTTTACTAGAGGTTCAAAACATACATGAGTATATAGATTACTTAATCTTTTTATAATCTTCACATGTACTCCAATATACTTCCACAGCTGTCACATCAACCTCATGACAGCAGCCTTATTTTACTGTCACTACTTTACTATAACTTGTCTGAAACCAATTATGGCTAATTCTTCTTTTTTTATAAATACTCCTTCACCCAAGTCATTAGGAACATGACACCATTGTCACTTCTGGAAGATCACAGACCCTATGTTAAAATGCTATACAGGCATATCTTAGTTAACAAAGTCTATGACAATGAAGTTCTTCTTTACGAAGTCTCTTTGTGGCATCCCAGGCTATTCCACCCTTTTTTCTAGCATTGGCATTAGGAGGATGATAAAAAAGAGAAATGAGAAAAAGACTTTAAGTGTTGAGTGTGAACTGTGTATCGGTAGTAATCAATTGGGCAAATTTGATATCATAAAGAATTGGGTGAAACTATTGATAATCCTGTTGTAGCTGTGTATTCACAGATAACATCCAAATCGACCAGCTGCCTTCAAAATCCTTTACTAAGCATATGTGAAGAGTAAAGCAGAAAAAAAGAGGAAAGCAGATTAGCTTAGTTTACCAGCTACCCTGGCATGTTACAAAATCATACTATATTTTATCCCATAATAGTTGCCATGACATGGCAAAAGTAGTTGTGATACTTCAGGGGGGCAGTTTTAACATTCTGTAGGTAAGGTTCAGTCACCTCATCTAACGTTTTGGTTGTGGATTGACAACTGTTGAGCATTATGGTGATGTCTTGTAAATTAGTCACACAAAAGCCTTAACTCATAAGTAGATATTTGTATGCCTTTGTAACATCTATTTAGGCATAGCATAGAATGGCAGATGTTTCCCTAATGCTGTTTTTTTTAATTACTTCGCGAACATCTTGCTCTGAGTCTCTTACTGCTATAGTGGCTCATTATCCACCCCAGTTTGTAGTATCTAGCTATTCATTGATCCAACTGTGAAGGAGCTTACTAACCATTTGCATTTTCTGTTACCTCAAACTCTTTGGTCCTTATTTTTTACCATTCTTAGTTAATGCTGAAATGATTTGAAGCTTTGGCATCTTCAGACCTCCATTTTTTTATAATAAAAATCTATCTCTAACGTTTATGATGTCTGCTCTTAAGGTGAATAATCTACCAACATTTTGGTGCAACACACCGTATTCAATAATTCATAAAGACAAAATTGTGGTTCATTCAGATGATACTTTTCTTTCAACAGAGGCTTCCCATTTTAGTTTGAATCAAGACATTGTCATACCATTTTTTATGCAGAATCCATCTCCACAGTAAAAAGTATTGCTTCATTCTTTGGATATGAAATGTACCTTAGTATTTTACACAGTCCTCACTGTGAAATTTCAGTGATCAACTCATTTGTTCGTTGCTGTGGTGTAAAGGCTCTTTCAATCGGTAGTTGAAACAATGAGAATAGTTTATGGTTTACATAACTCATGTTCTCTAAAGAATGATAGTTCACTCCATCATTACTTGTCTGGACTAAAGTCTTAGGCAGAGGCAGTGTTATCTTGAGTTCATCTCTCATCCAAACTTCTGTCAGCAAGTTAGGGAGTTTAGCACCCATTTGCGTGAGTTGCAGAGACCACAATTAAGAACAGGGTTGCCCCTGTAACTGTGGTTCTTTGAGTAGTCCTCTCTGCACTCATTCAACCCTTCATCGCCTTTTTTTCAGGTCCAGGATTCTTTTCCTCTTGGTGGACTATGAAAATGAGGAGAGAATAGCTTTAGTGGGCTGGAGCATGCATGTTATGGAGGAGAGGGCAGGGTTCTCACTGAAACTACTCAGCTCTAAAACGTTCTGAACAAGTCACCATACAGGTGTAAGACCTATTTGTATGAGTGCAGCGATGACTGCTTAACCTCAATTACAGGTAAGCAACCTGCTTATCCTATGCATCCGAACCTTCTTTACTAGTTTCTTCAGACTTTAGCAGATTTGTGTCAAAATGAGGAGCGGGGGTGTTTTTAAAAAGGAATGCTAATATTTGTTTATTCTATTCTTGGATGCAGGAGTGATTTTTTTTAAAAAAGATTTTGCATATTTTTGTGATTTTCTATCATTTGTTGGTGAAATTTTTATATTTTCATTTTACTATTTTGGGAAAAGGAAGTCTTTCTCCATATAATGCAAGGTTCATTTACTATTACAGATACTGGGAGCATAACATCTCATGGTGATTAACAGATTTTTTTCATGAAGTCTCTGTGCAGTCTTTTTGAGGATGAGGGCATTTCCTAACATTCTTTATATCACTAAAATATTATCAGTTATCACTTCAGTTTATGAGGAAGAGGCACTGTGATATTATATATCAGTTATATTGTATTTTTATCCCAAGTGACTACCTAAAAAGAAGTACAATTATTCTATCTTTCCCTCTCTCTTCAGCTATTTAATGTCATTTCAGACCAGTATGAAGAAAGTGGTTTTGCTGTACAGATGATGAAATAGGAAATCCTGGAACCAATTTGAGGCCCAGATAGCAATCATACAAACCGCAGAGCACTGAGGTTCATTAAGGGCTTTATTTCGTGAACTTTTGTGTGAAAGTTGGTTTGGTGTTAAATGGTCAGTGTAGATTGGGCCTTTGATGTTCTCCTTTTCTGTGAAGTTCACGATGGCAGAGTTTATCAGACTTTCTAGAACATGTCCTTTTCCAGAGAAATGTTTCATAATCAGCTTTCAACTTTTACACAGATTACACTGTCATTTTATGATGTGTATATGGTATATGCATGTGAATTTGAATACAGAAAATGTACTCTTTTTCAGTTTACGATTGTTTCAGAAGTTTGACAATTTCCGAATTCTCGTGTGTGGAGGAGATGGAAGTGTTGGTTGGGTGTTGTCTGAAATCGATAAACTCAGCTTGCACAAACAGGCACGTGCTCTTTTCTTTTTTGTTGGGAGCAGAAAATAGAGTAAAGTGGATGAGTTTTGAGAGTAAAGAAAAATAATGTATCTTTTCCATGGTTGTGATTAAAAAATACTTTCATAAGTCAACTTGAATCACAACTATTTCTTCCTTGATTTTAGTGTCATTTGGGAGTGTTACCCCTTGGTACAGGAAATGACCTTGCCCGTGTCCTTGGCTGGGGAGGGTCATGTGATGATGATACACAACTTCCTCAAATTTTAGAAAAGTTAGAACGGGCTAGCACCAAAATGTTAGACAGGTGAGTAAAGTCTGTTTTCATTGTTTGTGTGCGTTTTTCCAGCTGTAAAGTCTGAATTGTCTTTGGGTGACTAACTTTTCTTGTCATGCTGTTGTTACTGCAACCCCCCCCCCCCCCAATTTAATTTTTCCTGGATAAATTGTAGGTTTGATCATATGAACTCATCTAAATTTCAGGTGGAGTATAATGTCCTATGAACTGAAATTACCATCAAAGCAATCTGTGCTTCCTGTTACTCCAGAAGAAGAGTCTGAGGAGTGTCAGGTGAATAATATTTTTTAAACATATAATTGAATTATATACACCTGCAAAATGAAGTAAAATTAACAGCACATCTCTTCTGGGAAGGCCCTGTTAATGTCAGTAAACTTATTCCTAAATATGTAAAGAGTCACAGAGTAAGGGTTGTATCAGAACGGAGGTGGGGAATTCTACAATTGAGATCATGTTCTACAATCAAAACTTGTACCATTTGGATAACCAACTATAGAACTGGTTTTCAACAGGTAGGTTTTCTAAAATTATCACTTTAGGAATTTCGGAATTTCCATTAATTACTTATCAGTAATTTATTGATATCTTGTACTCAGGGAAAGTACACATTGTTTCCAATATTTTATTCTCAGAGCAATCCTATGATAAAGGTTAGTCCGGTGGACACGGCGATGGGGCTGCCTCGTTGAGAGCTAGCTCCTGACGAGGACCTGCGTAGAGGCGGACAGGTTGAGCTGGAAAGCTACCCCCTTTGCCGGATTGAGTGCAAAGGTGTCGCGAATCCCAAACTGAGCTCGAAGACCCCAAAGATCTCTCCTCCCTCAAGGAGGGGAGTTCGAGAGGGTCTGAGTAGCACACAGGAAGGCGAGATATAAAGAAAAAAATAAACAAAAAAGGAAAGGAAAAGGCAAAAAAGATAGATGATTTTCAGTTTTCCTCTAGGCAGTTACAGTACATGCCCATAAAGATTAATACTATCCTCTCTAATATTAATGCAAGTTCACTTTCTTCCACAACAATCCTTTCTAATCATCGAAACCAAAAATTATAAAGTTGTTTTCTTATTTTCTTTTTTTGCAAAAAGTCCATAAATGTTTATTCTTCTTTATGAAATGTCCCTCATGACTTATTTAATCAAGTTTGACAATTTATGTATTTCCATTATACTTGTCAAATTTGCAAACAAGTGCTCCATAGTTGGTATATCTGCATTCTTCCGTCTTAGTACATATAACAGTTTTGCTGCTGAGATCATATATTGCAAAAATCTGGAATCTCTTCATTAATGTATATATTTGAACCCAATATATTTTTTAATATTTTCAAATGTTCACACATATAATAAAACATCCCTTTACATTGCTTGGATTTCCAGCATGCATTGGAAAGCTCTTCATACATTCAGGACTACTTCTCTGGTGACATAAATCACTGATAACTCATTTTGATCATAATATAATGTATTTCAGTCCATTTGACCACATATGTTCCCACTGGTCCAGCTGTGTGTTATGACCAAAATTCTTAGCCCTTTTTATCATGCATTCTTTGGCCTGTTCGTCTTCCATAGTTTGGTGTAGTCTATATTTTTGGGGAAGAAAATCTAATTCATTTTTTTTAAATGTTAAATTTTCTGAAATAAACTTGATTATGACTGATTGAATTCATTCTATTATCTCCTGCCTACACATTTACTGTGGGCCGAATTTCCATGAGAAAAGGTTTAGAGCAATATTACTCAAGAATATAAGTTTATGAATGGGAGCATGGTCTGAAATCCTGATCTGCCCTATCTCTGAATCTATAGGACATTAAAATGTTTAAAAAAAGGAAAATATAATCAGTTCTATAGTGCATCTTATTTGCATTGGGATGGGGGGGGGGGAAGAGTGCACTCATATCTAGTATTAAAATAACACAATATATGAGTGTGTGGGTAAGAATCTGTGCATATATGAGATACTGGATTTTGCAGTTGCAAGCGGAATGGCATTGTTATTATTTTCATTTTTATTTTCAGATGTCAGTGTATGAAGATTCAGTTGCTGCTCATCTTGCCAAGATCCTTGATTCTGATCAGCATTCTGTGGTCATATCATCAGCTAAGTAAGTTCTTTACTTTGAAATGTATGTGTCACATCTTTTTTTTTAGTTGTAAATTGCAGTTTTACCTCAATCTATCTCAGATGTTACACGTACGAGATTGCATGTGTTTGAATCACATTTTCTTGTAAGTCCCCGCCTTTCATAAATTTACATGTCATATAGAGGGACATGAAATTTTCTCAATACCATATTTGTTCTAAAGAATTTGGGTTAATGCATAAATCAGATTAAATTTGGAATCCCCATGTTTTCAACAATAATCATTATATTTGTCACCTGCTTCTCTTCGTGGCTCAAGGTGAGGTACAACACAGTCAAAATACATAGATAAAACAAAGAACCATAATATCCATATACAGTATTAAAAACAAAACACAAATTAAAATACCAATACTAACAAGATGTAAATTTAAAATTCATGGTTTAAAATTAACTGAGTAGACCTGCTAGAAGAGATGGGTCTTTAATTTTTTTAAAAAAAATCTTACATCTTGTTTAGCTATCAAACTTCTTCAGGCAGGTCATTTCACATTCTGGGAGTGGCTGATGAAAAAATCCTTTAGGTGACGGTTGTCATTTGAGTTCTGGTTGATTGGAATAAGGGTCCCAAAGAGGATCTAAGTATATTGATGGATTATATGGAAGAAGTTGACCGGGATCTAAACCATGTAGGGCTTTAAAGGTAATGACCAATACTTTGTACTTTGCCTGGAAACTAGTTGGCAGCAAGGGAGGTGATTTTAGTATAGATGTAATGTGCTCACTCCTAGGTGTTCCAATCTGGCTGCAGTGTTTTGAACTAATTGGAGTTTTTGAACTTGATATAGAATCATAGAATCATAGAATCATAGAATCAAGGTAAAGCACATTGCCGAAGTCCAAACTTGAGGTTACTAGTCTGTGCACTACCATCTTTAGGTCCTCCAATTCTGGGAAGGGGCGCAGCTGTGATAATTAGATTTTGAAAAAATTGGCTTATGTGGAAACAAGGATTGGGGAGAAAGCTTCAGTGGAAACACCTTTTCCCAATGATAACTCTTCCAAGAGTGAATTTCCCTTTCTAGCGGTAGATTTCTGTCTTCCAGTTGTCTCGCCTTATTCTGAACTTGAGTCATTTGCAAATCAGATGTCTGTAACTCAGGGACTGCTTGTATTCTAAGAAGATGGAACATTCAAAATATTCCAATGACTATAATGCTGATTTGTTTGCTCTTGGGGATTGCTAATGTATTTGCTCTTGTGAAAACAAAGCAACTGCTTCTGTCACCACCATCATCTCAAGTGCCTTCTCTTGCAGTGAGAAAACAGGGTGGTTGTAACAATAAGGAAACAATGGAGAGCAGCAAGCATCTAATCCTGGCTCCAAGCCAATTCTGGGGGTGGGAGGAGGAGAAAGTGGAAATGGAAGAGAGGGTTAAATATTTTCTTCTCTTCCCTCATGAACTTTGCACTTGTGAGATAAAATCTTAATGGATTTTCATTAGGAATAGCAAAACGATATTATTGCCTCATTCAAGATTAATGTTTCAACACCATCAATGTCCTTTCTCTTTACTTTGACTTTTTTTTCCTGTCTCTCAAAAGGATATTATGTGAAACTGTAAAAGGCTTTGTTGCTAAAATTGGAAAGACCTGTGAAAGACCAGTGGAAAATTCTGAAACTGATGCGATGGCTATTAAAGTAAGAAATATATTTCTTTCCTTGAAATACTTTCTTCAATGTTTAGGATTTTCCTCTTTGTATAGATACACAAAAAACAGGGTCGGCCCTGGTTAGTACTTGGAGGGTTGCTGTATTCAGAGGAAGCCCTAGCAGAACCATCTCTGAAGATTCCTTTCCTTAAAAAATTCTATGAAAAATTAATGGAGTCACTGTAAGTCAACTGAAAACATGGAGGCAGATATCTACAATGTATTTTTGTTTGGTTTTGTTAGTTTTAATTTATTATAAACTGCCATGAGCTTTACTTGGGAAAGCAGAGTAAATTTTTTATAAATCACATTTAGGTCTCCCCCAAAATAGCTAGTGTAGCCTTCATTATATCTATGTTGTAGCTCTATCTTGACAAGAGTGTTTCACAGTATTGACCTACATGTTTCCCATGGAGGAGATTATGAAATAGAGAAAATAGGGAGAAGTCAAGCTGTGGCATAATCAGGCAGCTCTTTCAGGTTTTCGGCAACTGTACATAACTCCATGGCTACATACGGGCTAAAAGTGGAATCTTGGAAGCCATGATACTAAAGGAGCAGTTTCACAATTTCCTTTGCAGGGACAGAGAAGCAGAGACATTGAACCATTGTAAAGTACCTGAGATAATATTTTACTAGGCAAAAATCTGTTATGTGATCTACATGAAATCATACCTTAATAGAAATTTCACTTGCTGCATCACATGTGATAGAGAATGCTATATTAGAGAAGCACTGACAATACAGTTGCGATCTATGTCTGTCCACACAATAGACACTCCTCCTTTTTTTTGCTATGAGACTTTGTTTAGCTACCAATGTGCATGCTGGCACCTGAGGGAAGCCTCCTAGCCCTCACACCTTCACTCATCCATATGCCTGCCCCTTGGAGTTATGGGGGCTGCTCCAAGAGGCAGGTGTTCAGGAAGGAGTGCAACTATTATGTGAGGATTCAAAAAACATCAAAATCGAGACCCCTGAGAAGGGGGTGCGACTATTGTGCGATAAAATGCAGTATTTGCAAAATCTTATTTTGGTTCCATGATTTCTGACAAAAGCCAGATGATTAACAAGCTCTTAATTTTTTTAAAAAATTGTTACCATGCTTACTAATGTATGTGCTTTCCCCCTTTCTTTTCCACGTAATTTTGTTAGTGCTCAGAACTGAATGAGAAGCTGAACATGTTGCTGCAGGCTCTCGATGCTGAAGCCCAACTTGCACCTTTGCCGCCACGGATTGCTCCCCCTATTGTAGAAGAAGAAACGGAAGAATCCTCAAGCGAGGAATCTTTATCTGATGTTAAGGAACAGTTGACAGAAAGCAATTCTGTATCTCCCTCACACCAGATCTTCAAGCCAAGAGAACAGCTAATGCTGAGAGCAAACAGTTTAAAGAAAGCTCTAAGACACATTATTGAGCAAGCAGAAAAAGGTGTGGAAGATAAATATGCTTGATTTTGCTTCTTAACCCTGCTTGGTAACTTTCTTATTGACATGAAGAACTGGTTCAGAGCTAACATGAAAGCACTTTAAGAAGTAAAACCTTGGAAGCAACCATTCATACCTCTAAATCAGTGGTTCCTGACGGCAGCCTACCATTACTACACTGTTGCCTTGAAACCACATCCAAAACCCTATTATAGTGCTGAGGCAACGGGGATGTTGGGACGGGAAAGGCTGACTCCCTGTGAAATATTACTACTACCACATCAGCCCTAGATGGTTAAATATGGTTTTTTTGTGGGCAAGCAAATAGCGACTACTGGATGGCATATGTTCTGTATCAGAAACCAGCTGATGTGGTCTATCCAATGCAGTTTTCTGAACTCCAAAACTGGTTTCTGGTTCCCCTAAACCAGTTGCTCCCAACCTTTGGACTTCAGCTCCCAATTCCTAACAGCTGCTATGCTGACTGGAATTTCTGGGAGTTGATGACCAAAATTTGAGAACCACTGCCCTAAACAGTAACATTTTAACAGTAATTAGTATTGTTACTTCTAACATCTTTTTACAAATTCAGACTATAACACCACTAGTCATTACATTTATTATACACAATGGTCATTATGTCCTTACTGTAAGCAAACCTAATTTTCTTACTTACATTGCATTCCTGCAAAACTCTGAAAGTTTGTATTTAAAATATATAACCAAACAACCTAATGATTTCAGGTAATGTTCCAGCTGGGACTTAAATTTCTGGATTCAGGATATTTATCCGATAGATATCATTTCTAGACAAGGGCATTTTCCCAATAATATCCCATTAGTATTACATACTTTTGATTCTTGAAATGAGAGTATGACTTTATTTTTAGAAAAGAACGACTGTATAGGCAATCCCACGATTTTGAACACATTTTCTAGGGGGATTAAATCTGTGCCACAGACATCTAGCCAGAACGGGATATGAGGGCACGGCCCTTTTAACTAGACAATAATCACAAGTTGAGGAGACAGGCGTTCTTTTTCATATGTGAAATTTGTAAATCTACCTATTTTCAAGAGAAATAGTAATTAGAAGCCTAACAGAGAATTTGTTGTATTTTTTCCATGACCATAGCTAATTCACGCTACAAGATAGATTTTGTAGAAAATAGTCAAAGTACTCAATGGATATTTATATGTTTTTATAGTTGTGGATGAACAGAATGCCCATACGGAAGAGCAAATAAATCACTCATCAATGGATTATTGTAAAGAATTGGAAGAATCCAAAGAAGAAAAAGATGAAGATACAAAGGAATCTGAATCTGATCCAAGTAAGTATACAGAAAAAAATAATTGCATATGAATTCTAAATCATAAATTTGAGTTGATTTTATTTTTTCACTGACACATTTTTGGTAGGCAACTGGTATTGAATATTGAAAAATAAACTCAGAAGGACCTATTCATGTCTATTCGAGTAATTGCTTAGTTATTTCCATTAGACGCACTCCAAGGTAAAGATGGATAGGACTGCTTCAAATATGAATTTGTTCAAAACATAAAAGGTCTATATATCTGTCTATCTATTTATCTAAAAAAGAGCTCCTCAGATAACATGTACCATGGAGGAAGAACTGTGACATTGAACTATTTTAGGAACTGTATACCTTGTTTGTTATTTATAAATCCATCATTGGATTTCTGCTGATTAAATAATAGATTCAAGTGGTACTGTAGCTCCCATATACCTCACAGATCTGCTCTGGATGAGCAGGGAGTCCTTTGTTTTTTGCATTCCACATTTTTCTGTTTCCATGAAAACAAAGGGAAATGCCATCAAATTTCTACTGTGTCTTGTTTTTAAAGTCTGAAAGGAATATCCTGAGACATAACAAGTATCATATAGGAAATGCAATATGCAGTACTTTATTTGTGTTGCGTATTATTTTTAACAGTTAAAATTGGTCCCAAATCTCCAGGTGGACAAAGAAGTCGCATTCCTTCATATACAAGTTCTTTTTCAGTCCCACCCTGCACAGGAAGCAAAGAAAATCTTCCAGTACTTAATACAAGGATTATTTGCCCAGGTAACAACATATTTATTGCTTTCATTGACATAAAATATACCAGATGTTTTCTTTAGGATATTTCAAAAGTATTTGGTTCATTTGTTAAGCATAATTTGAAAGTGTCTGCACATTGTTTGATACTATAATTCGTGTATGAAATTTTGTAAAGGAATGAATATAACAGATTGGATAGTGTGAATATGATGCTGAATTACAGAGTTCATATACCCGTGTTTACTCAAATCTAGTGTGTCATCGAATCTAGGGTGGACCTTAATTTTCAAAACCCTGAAATCAAAAAAAGCATTTGCTGGTGAATTTGCTTGCTGTGCAGCCGCAAAAAATGCACTCTTAGTAATTTGTTCCAAAATGGTGTGCATTACAGTTGCTGTGTGCTTAGAATTCCTTCTTTTAAAATAAAAACTGTTGGATCATCAAATCTTCCAGCAATGGAAAGTACCAGATAATCAGGTAACCCATGATGGGAAGATGGGAAGGAAAGGAAGATGAGGGGAAATTGGAAGAAGGAAAGATGGGCAGGTTTTTAGAATTATTATATTAAGAGGGAAAGCGATAAGGAAGGAAAAGAAAGGAAGGAAAGAGGAAGAAAGAAAAGGATGAGAGAGGAAAAGAAAAAAAGAGGATGAGAAGGAAAGACAGAAGTAAGGAAACTGCATCTTCTGCTATAAGCCCACATGAACCCTGAGGTCATCAAGAGAGGCCCTGCTTTTGGTTCTACCATCGTCTCAAGCGGCTGGTGGAAATGAGAGAGAGGGCCTTCTTGGTAGTAGCACCGTGGCTCTGGAACTCCCTCCCTAGAGAGGTTAGAATGACCCCCTCCCTGCTGCCATTTCAGAAGCAGGTTAAAACCTTCCTTTGGAAGCAGGCCTTCCCCAAAGAAGATTAGCAGATGGACAGTTATAGTGGATATATAGCGGATCACCAGCAATTGATTTGTTTCTTCTTATTTTATACTCAGAATTTCTAGTTGAAAAATTAAATATTTTAAACTAAACACACCGAAAAGAAAAAAAACTCAAGCAGAATATTTTCTCATTTAAAGTGTCAAGTAAATGGTTTTATTTGCCATTTTCTTTAAGATAATTTCTAAAAATGATTTAAGGTAACTGCAATATGAGAAAATTACAAAATGGATTTCTCCCTTTTCTTATCAGGTCTAAGAGCAGGTCTAGCTGCATCTATTGCAGGAAGCTCTATTATCAGCAAAATGTTACTCGCCAACATTGACCCATTTGGAGCCACACCCTTTATTGATCCGGATCCAGAATCATTGTAAGCAAATAGTTTGTCAGATTCTTCCTTGCTTCTATTTCCTATTTAGTTGGCTTTGTTATTTAGTGTTATCTTTTACAAGATTAATGTTTTATAAAATAACTTATTTTTTATGGATTCAGTAGTTCAAAACTTTCTCATTTAAAAGGGTGCTGTTACATTCAGTTGTTGTTTTTATTCAACCATATAGAATGGTTCTCTGTTTTTCTTTTGGAATATGTTTTCCTGGTGGGTTCTTGGAGAACTCCAAGGGAACTCTTTGGAGGCTCATAGGAACACCCTTAGTAAGTCATACTTTCCCCACACCTGGTCTAGAACCTCAATAACAAGCAGACCACTTATCATATGAATGGTTGCTAACACATGGAGTAAAGAGAGATTTTCTGGGAGATTATCTTCAAGGTGCTTGCTATTGTTTTGCCACTACTAGACCTTGCTTGGTAAAATCACAAAAGAAGTTAAAGTAACCAGACTGAGACAAGATATTTCACTTGTCATATAGACTCCATGTTTTGAGTTGATACACTCCTTAGGGTCAGTTTGGATGTTGCAAGAATAGGCAAGGTTTTTGTCCTTCTTAGTTTCATCTAGTGATGTTGTCAAGCCACTTAGTACACTGGGACAGATTAATACATTGTGAAATTTGTTTTTCCTTGGATTGTCACTGTGGTTATTTTATAGCAGGACTTAAAATTTTGGGGTGTGCATGTGATAGTCTAAGTATGGAGTATGGTGCTATTCATTAGCACTAACATCAAATGGAATATGTTTACTATACATATTCTATACAAAAAACTATAAAATTTACTATACAAAAACTGATCTGACATGATATGTATTCGTATTTCACCTATACACAGGATCCTTTTATTTTCTTCTTCATAAAAATGGAAAACAAACCCAAAAGTATTTCAAATAATTTATATTCCCTTAGTTTATAGAGCCAGAGTTTGGTTAGCTTCTCCGGATAGCCAGGATTTTAAAGACAGAAGTCAGCGTAAACAATGAGTCATTACATTTTGCTTACTTGCTGCATCGTTAACATTTAACACTCATCTACTTAGCACAGTTCTGTTACTGTTACATATTTGGGAAAGTGAATGATGTAGAGAGCAAGGCAGGGGAGGCTAGTGTGAAATCATGTGATGAACTAGAAATTTGGCTGTGGTACCTACTATCTACCTTAACTCTCATCGTATTTTTGCCAACAGGGAAGGATATTCAGAGAAGTGTGTCATGAATAATTATTTTGGTATTGGATTAGATGCAAAGATTTCGTTAGAATTTAACAATAAGCGAGAAGAACACCCTGAAAAATGCAGGTAATTGGGATATTTAAAACAAGTAATTCTGCAATTCTGTCTGCTTTTCTTCAATGTCTGAGCAGTAGTTGTTATTTTACAGAATATGACTGATTGTGTGCCTCACTGTGATCACTTTTCTTCTCCTTTTAGAAGCAGGACAAAAAACATGATGTGGTATGGTGTGCTTGGTACAAAAGAATTACTGCAACGGACCTACAAAAACTTAGAGCAAAAAGTTCAGCTTGAGGTAATATTTGTATGCCACGACTAGCCATATCCCTATCAAATTTGGGCTTGAGACACAGAGCTTCAGCTCTGTTCCCTGTCTCAACATTTCAGTTCTTTTATGTACTTTTGCTTTTTTGTAGTGTGTTAGTTGGATTTTCTTCTAATGGCCCTGTACAGCTATTGCTTTTTTCACCATAATGTAAGAATACCTCAAAATTGATTGATAGAAAATGTCTAACTTTGGTCTATACTGCACAAATATTACTGTGACATACGGTTCAAAAGACTGCATCAAATCAATTCCTTTTTTTGTTATTAATTAGAAATGTGTACAATATATCCTGGTTTTCCAGATCAAAACATGAACCACTAAAGGGAGTTAACTGCAGAATTAAAAGACATAAGCACAATGTAACCACAACTAAAGAATCAACAGATCAAAATGGAGCTTTAACAATAAGAGTTAGCAATATCAGTGAGCATCTAAGTCTTTGACCTGTTAAAATCAAGTACTGTGATAAAATTTGGTTGCATGCCACTGAGCAGTGAAGGGCGTCAACATGGGGAGCTACAAATCCTGGGAGCAAGGACTGCAAAAGCCTTGCATCAACTTCACCAGAATCCAAATATATGAGAAGGTATCCACTCATAATGATTAGTGGATGATCAGTATTATTCACTCAGTCAGGTGGGAAAAAGGCAGCAATTTAGATATTATGGGATTACAGCACTCAGCAACCAGTACTGAGGAATTTGGGGAGTTGCAGTTGAACAATATCTGGAGGTCTGCACTTTGTTAATTCCTAAGTTATGGTTATGACAGACACTTCAAACTGTGACTATAAATAGACTGAGAACCAGTGCAAGGGCAGTTGATGTTAAAGAGCAGTCACGTGTTCAGTGAATCTAACCCTGGGAAACAATCTAACTACTACATTCTGTACTAATTACAAATTTTGGACAGCTCTCAAAAGACAGATCTTTGGCGCATGCTTAGTGCTCTATGTGGATGCATTGTTTGGAGTAAAAATGCTGCCTAATAGTTTTGGAGCATTCTGCTTCCACTGTAATCTCTTGCTTCAGCTGCTGGGACTTTTTTCCAGTCAGTCACTTCTATGGCAGGATTTTGTTGCTCAATTTCTTTTCTCCAGTAGCAATGTGTGATGAGCATGAAACTGAATAAACTGAAGGGACTTGATGCCTCAAGTAGATTTACTAAACAAGAATAGAACATCTTGACTAATGAGAAAGTAGACAAAGTTATCATCAACTGTGGTTTGGAATGGCAGATCATTTTCAGTGATTATATATGGTAATATTTGCATTGCAGTGTGATGGACAATATATCCCCCTCCCAAGTCTTCAAGGTATAGCTGTCTTGAATATCCCAAGTTATGCTGGTGGGACTAATTTCTGGGGTGGCACCAAGGAGGATGATGTGAGTATAAAATAAATGTTTGCTGTATGGCCAGTTTTTAGAATTATTATATTAAGAAAATATAATTTACATGCAAATGTCAAGACTCCTTGTTAATATTTTAAAATCTTTTCTTTAAAAATTCATACATATTTATTATTTATGTAGCTTTTATACATTTTAAAGGGATGAATCAAAGCCATAATTTTCCATTGATTAAAAAGGATTATTTTACACTATTTGGAATGAAGGAATATATCAATAATTTCCGACCCTTTGGTATTATACTTAATCTTTAAGAGTTCTAAATTTATTTACTTTCAACGAATAGGTTAGAAGTAGCTTGATCTTTTTAATATGTTTGAAAAACACAATATTTACTTTAGTTTTCAAATGGTTTAAGACCCTATTTAAACAGACCACCAGTCTTTAACTGATTGGGATGGAAGGAGTGTATTATATTTTCATTGGCTAAGTGTGCTTTTGTGCTTCCATTGTTTTAAATTAAAAATATTTTAATTTAACTGATCATTCAATTTTTAAAAAAATTGTGCCATATATTGTTTTAGCTATTTTGTTATATTGTGACCTACTTTGGATCCCATATTGGGGGGCAAGCAGGATACAAAATAATTTAAGAAAAATGTAATAAAAAATCTTATAGTTTGATGAACAAAGTTGCAGAATGAGTTCAAAGATTGTCTCTAGTTAGAATAGGAACTCAGTACTTCTGTGCTCAGTGAGATAGGCAGGAGTAAACACAAGATCATGAAAAGGTCACGGAAGTTTATTTGGCCACAATGTTCAGCTCCCAACAGAATTTTTCTGTTCTTTTCGAGAATCAGAAGTGCACTTCTTTATAAAATGAGTGAAAATGAAACATCTGCTAGAAATAGCTTTGTTAGTGTTAATGGCACTTTTTTATTTTCAGCATACTGATATACATATTTTTTTTGCTTTCTAGATATTTATAGGTTCCTCAAATGCAGGCGTGGACAAATGTCAGCCCTCCAAGTGTTTTGAACTTCTAACTCCTACACTTTCTAACAGTCACTAAGCTGGCTGGGTTTCTGGAAGTTGAAGCCCAAAACACCTGGAGCGCCGAAGTTTGCCCATGCCTGCTCAAATGTGATCTTGTCTTCGACTTTATAATTTACATTGCATGGCAAATACTCTAATTCTTCATTGATGTCTACAAAATGATTTATATGTTTGAGTATGTACTCTGAATACCTGAAAATACATTGATCCTGTAAATATTTAAGCACCTTTCATAAATGACAGAGTGCGTCGGAAAAAACTCAGGTCTGAGCTTGCCTCTAGACTTCCAACCAAACTGATGCTTCCTTTCCCCTTGCCATCAGATATTTGGGGCCCCATCATTTGATGATAAGATCTTGGAAGTTGTTGCAGTTTTTGGTAGCATGCAGATGGCCGTTTCTCGTGTCATTAAGCTACAGCACCACAGGATAGCTCAGGTATGTATTGCTCCAGAAGCAAAGAAATGAACTGGCACGATTGTTCAAGAGATGCCTAAAGTACACATTAGTCAAGTCTTGACTTTTTGTTTTCATTTTAAGTGTGTAACAAATCATCATAAATGCCAAAATGCAAGAGCTTTTGCCCTTGAGATTTCTCTGGACAGAAGCCATAGCTGCAAATAACCACACGTCTTTGTGGGAATTGCTATGTGAACATATTTGTCTCCTTTAAAATCTGTTTATTCTCTTTCAGTGCCGGTCAGTAAAAATCACCATACTAGGAGATGAAGGCGTCCCAGTACAAGTCGATGGAGAGGCATGGATCCAGCCTCCAGGAATTATTAAAATTGTGCATAAAAACAGAGCACAGATGCTAACAAGAGACAGGGTATTTTACTTGTTTATTTATTGAATGTATATCCTGCCTTTTTGCCAGATTGGGATTCAAAGAAGCTGAATGGAAAGAATATTTTGTATAATACTGGGTGGGGCATAAAGATCTCCAACATTTTGAAAGGGTATAAAAATGAATGAAGCTATCTTGAAGAAAAGTTGTATATATTTTTGAAAAGTACATAAAACATTTTTGTTTCAATGGGTTTTGAAAATCATCTCAAACAAATGATTTTGTAAATATCGGCATGCAGAATAATCCTCAAACTCTGACTTGATATCCCCAGTACCATGGCAGACTTATGACTGGAATACCTTGGCAGTTGCTGAGTTGATGCCCTTCCTGCTTCCTCATTTTCTGGCGCTCTAACTCTAGGTCTACCAGGGATTTTCTTTTCAGTGTGGGTCCAGTTGCTCAAAAGTTAGAAATCCATAGCAAAATCATTTTCTGATGTAGTACAAATTCATTTCAACCAAACACAAAGTGTGTACAAAAACCTCCCTGTGTTGTTATTGCAGAATTGTTGATCTCATAATATTTGAACAAAAATCCCTGATGTTCATCGGTCCAATGATGGGTACTGAAAATGGCAGAGCCTGACCTACCAAATGACACCTCCTTTACCTCTCTACCCCCACTACAGCCCACACAGTGCTCCCTCGAAATATGGGAGATCTTTATGTCCTAGCCTGTATATTATCCCTTGCTATATAAATTCCCTTTGTGTGGGATTTAGCTCAAGTTTCTCTGATAAAAAAGCAACACCTGAAAAAAGAACATAAATAGGTCAGCTGAAATGTAAACTTCTAAATATTGTATGTGTATGTAGTATGAAATGATATTGAAACTGATCAGTGTCTGTGTGTCTATGTGATTTTGAGACAGATGTCTTAGTCCCTTTTCTCAGGTCTTCAGTGTTAAAATGAATATCTCTACATTCTCAAAACTAGATCTTGATTGTTAGTTTTTGCGTTACTAAATATAATAAAAAACTATTAAAATTTGAATAATTATTAAAAAAATAAATTTTGAATTGATGTGTGCATAATGTCCATAATTCAATTCTAAACAGGCCTTTGAGAGTACACTAAAGTCCTGGGAAGACAAGCAGAAGTGTGATTCCTGCAAACCAGTTGTGAGGTCACCTCTGTATCCTCAACAGGCGGTAGAACTGGCTACTGAGGAAGAGGCTTTACAGATTCAGCTATGTTCTCAGACGGCCGAAGAACTGATTACCAGGTATTGAGGATGGGATGATGGGGAAGAATACTTATTGACATTTTATTAATATGGAGATATTGTATTGTATGGTATCCTTTAATCAGTTGTGCGTTGTGTAGCAGTTCCATACAAGTATTAATAATTGTGATACCCATTGCGATGATTATAAATGTCTCTGAAACCCTTCTCAAAAGCCATCCAACTGTCCCAAGTGACTGAGCTTTGAAGCACTGGTGAATGGGGTACTGTAGGATGGTTTGACTGCGCCTCTCCTGAAAAAGAATACCATATTTACTTGCGTCTAATACACATTCGATTCGATGGTGCATTAGAATAGCTCATGTTATTAGAATGTGTTACATATGCTGTAAAGATAAGGATGGTGCATTGCAAAATTGACCAAACACAGAGAAAAGTAGTTGTCAGTCACAGCACACATTGGATCTTTGGAAAACAACAATGGCAACAATTATATAACAAATCCATTTTAATGTGCACCTTCAAAATAATGTGCACAATACATTAAATGGTGCATTATATTTGAGTAAATACAGTAATAATGTGAGAAGCAGAAGCAGGGTCCTCTGTAGGGTCCTATTGCAATTCTTTGTTGAAGAAAGGGGTTGATCACATCAACTCACCAGCATCACCAAAAGGCCATCACTCAGGACAACTAGCTGGCTTTTAAGGTGGCCTAAGAGGTTAGAATAGGAGATGACTATTGTAGCTAATGCCTATGATGCTGGGTCTTGGTCATTAATTATTTGTTTTGAAAAAGGAAGTTATCACTAAGTAGAATCAGAAGAATTTTTTTCTCTGTTTTAGTGTTCAACTTATTCCAACATTTTTGAATGCCTTCAATTTGTTACACCTTTATTTAGCTTGCAATGCTTGTATGTCACTTTTCATTTTAAAACATTTTGAAATTTCAAAAGTAGTGATAATATTAAGAGATTATTTAGTACTGTTTGGGTTTTCTTTTAAACTTTTGAATCTTGATATGATAAGTTTAGCCTTTTTCTTTTCCTCCCTCCCCATAAAGAGCACAGTTCTTCTTGGTGACTTTGTCTGCAGTGAATTTACTCTGACTCCTAAGAGCACTTTCTCATTCAGTCCAATGGCCTTGCTTGAAAACACTTTGAGCTGCACTTGTACCTTGTAAATTAGAGATATTTTCAGAAAAGCCTGTTGCGGTTGCTATAGTCTTACCAAAACGTTACCAATGATATAGATTTGTGTTATTTTTGTCAGTTTTTTTCAAACAGTTGATCAATAGCCAATGCATTCCTAATTCCCTATCTCTCTGCTGTGCCCTCAATTCTTGCAGAATCTGTGAAGCTGCAAAAATACACACCTTGTTGGAACAAGAATTGGCTCATGCTGTAAATGCATGTTCTCATGCCTTAAACAAAGCCAGTCTAAGATGTCCTGAGGTAAAGTAAAATGTTGATGCTTTATATGTAACATCTAACGTAAATAAAACAGTAACAATTAACACTTGCACCGTTTTTGTCAAATTCATTGCTATGTTGGTTAAAAATATTCCTTTATCTTCAAAAAGTACCTGAAAGCTAGAGTTTAAACAGTACAGGAATACTTACGGTATATCATTTAGTTTTGATACGCAGTGAGGCTCTAGGACAGTGTTTCTCAACCTGTGGGTCCCAGATGTCTTGACCTTCAACTCCCAGTAATCCTAACAGCTGGTAAACTGACTGGGGACCCACAGGTTGAGAAACACTGCTCTAGGATATGCCTTACAGCTCAGGCAGTGCGGGCAATTGTTGTCCTCCTTTCCTTCTTTCACCCCACCCCCAACCTGTTCAGACAAGATGACACAAAATCACAGAAGGACAGCAGATACCATGGCAGAAGTTAACAGTAACAGAAGCAGTAACTTGCATCAGGTGACACAATCAGTTCGCTATGTGAAATCTTCCACACTTATTAGCTTTCCTGTCATGAAAGAAATGCCCTTTCTGATTTAAATACAGAAAGTATCCATTATAATATCTTTATTTATTTCAAATGTGGCAAGACAGGTTTTAAACAAAAATGTTAAAAAAAATGAGAAAACTCTATTTAAATGAGTTCTGTACAACGTGTGGCCCGTGGGCTGCTTACAGCCTGACAAAGCTAGCCCATGAAAAATGAAGAGGATCTAAAAGAGTGTAAAGATGTAACAAGTGCTCTCCCCATTTATAACTTGTGTCTGGTGTTATCTGGTGCCACCTGGCTCAACTTGTCTTTCACTATTGTGCCCATGATGTAACCAAGCAGGCATGTTGCGACTTTATGCTCTTTGCCATTTGTCACGTGACCCATGGTAATTGACCATCATCAGCATGTCTCTAGTCTGAGAGGAGTGAGAGTCATTGTATCGTTTCGCCGTGTTTTGGTTGTTACTGGCATGGAACGAGGACAAAGCAAGTGCAGCCACATGCCAGCGAGCTGATGTCCACTATGCAATGAGTGGCAACAATGTCAGGTCGTCTCCCCTTCCCTCATTTCACAGACTTCCCCCACGTTACATGAGTGTCTAGCTCCAAAATCAGATACTCAGTTCAGTATTTCTTTAATATGATTTCATGATGAAGAAAAATCTTAAGTAATAAGCAATTAATATAATTAATTATAAAGGACTTTACAAATAGATCAAACTATAAAAAGTAGAGATGTCAATTAATATCAATTAATTGAAATTACCCCTTTTTATAATACGATCTATTTGCAAAATCCCTTATCATAAATTCTATGTTCACTTGGAAATCTATCTCCAGCCCAAAGACATTTAGTCCCAAGTTGTGCAGGTCTGGTTAAAATTCTGATAGAAAACATGATTTACATTTGTTTTGATTGGATGTATTTCCCCATCTAGGGTTATGGCTTGTTTTTAGTCATCATACTTTCTTCCCACAGAGCCTCACCAGAAGTACAGCCCTTGAAGTAGCTGTCAATATGAAGGCACTGCATAATGAAACTGAATCCTTGTTAATTGGGAAGGTTCCTTTGGTAAGATGTTGATAGGAACAGTGCTTTTACTTGTTCACTTTATACTGTCTTTTGATAGAAACTGATGTCCAATCTATACAGTATTTGCTTTAGACAAAAGACATGGTGCACATTCCATAGCTACTTTTGATACATAGATGTTTCAACATTTGTTGAAATTTGTTAACTTTACTCTGATTTCATTTCTGTCTGGCCGACCAGTGAAGAAAGTACTTCTCCAGTTAACCAATGGAACCAGTTTAAATAAACCAGTAAATAGATATGGTAGGAGTCCTCTGAGGTGTCAACATGTATTTGGAAAATGAGCACTCTATAGAGAGATTAGACTTAACTATTTTCTTTACAGCATCCATAGCTTTTCGTGTGTAGGGATTTCCACCAATCCCACCCCTTTTAAAATGTGAATGCAAATCTAATTGTGACCAACTTCTTTGAGAATTCTTGGAGATCAGCAGAAGTCTCCTCAGCTGGAGAATTGTAAATGTCCCCATCTTAAAAAATGGCAAAAAAGAAGACCACAAGCAACTACTAACCATTCATTTGATGCTAATACCAGGAAAGGTTCTAGAAGATATCATTAAAACAATCAGTCTGTACTTGGAATAGAAAGCACACTGCCAATTGTCACCAAATGAGTTTAGAGTAGTTAAAACTCCAGAATCAAAATGGTATTGACAGATTGGAGAACTGGGCCAACACTAACAAAATGAATTTGAAGATGGATAAATATATTTAGAAACATGAAAGGTATAAATATAGGATGGGTGACACTGGTTTGAAATGATACATGTGAAAAGATCTAGGGGTCTTAGTAGAACAAAGGATAAACACGCGTCAACAGTGTGACATGGAGGCCAAAATACCAGTGTAATTATGGGCTGCTTCAAGAGGAACATAGTGCCCAGATAAAGGGAAGTAGAAGTGCTGCTCAGCTTTCTTTAATCAGGTCTTGCCTGAAATGCTGGGTCCAGTTCTGGAAACCACAGTTCAAGAATAATATCAACAAGCAGGGATGACCAAGATGATCAAAACCTAGAAACTAAACGTTATGTGGAATGACTTAGTTTGGAGAAGAGAAGGTTGAGAAGGGAAGTGATAGCTAGGACTACGTACACGTGCTTATTCCTGCTATATCCTTTATTTCAGAGCGAAAGTTTTGTCTGGGAAGAATTTAAAGTATGTTTGGGGATTTTTAAAAGAAAGAATGAGAAAGAGAGAAGGAGGGTGAGAGAGATCAATTTGGGTGGATTGGGGGAGAATGGAGACAGATCTTGGGGACAAGGTAGACCCTAGCTTCTTGGGATTGATGACTGAACAGGGCAGCTTGCTGGAGTGGGTGAGATGACTCTCGGCAGAGGGGGAAAGAGAAGGTAAAAATGTTCCTACTTAAATACTATGAAAATTGGATATATTTTTACTGACTATTAAGACAACTTAGGTAATGGAGATATTTAAAGTGAGAGTCATAATAGAAATTGGTTGTTCATAGTCATTTGGTAAATGTGTATTTTTCATTTTTTGCTTTTCACAACATGATAACTTTAAGATAGCTGTCTTTAAATAGTTGAAGGGATGCTATGTAGGATGTGAATCAACCTTTTTTGCTTCTGCTCCAAGGACTAAAACTTAAACCAATGGATTCAAATTGCAAAATAAAAGAGAGGAAAAAAGGAAGAGAGAGATTTCATCTAAACTTTAAGAACTATTTACTACAGGAAGAACTGGAAAGGGATCTTACAGCATCTTAGAAACCAACTCAGAGCAAGAATTTGGTAGCATAAGTTTTCTTAGCACAAAAGTAAGATGCTAAAAAATCCCTTTGCATGCCGATATTCCAGGCGAATGTGGCTATGTCTTTGAATTCTACTGTAAGAACAGTTTGACAGTAGAATAATTTAGATAGGAGGAGGATGAACTTTGGAGTTCTTTAAACAGCACTGGAATGGTATCTTCAAGGAGGGCCTTAGTTGGGTATTCCTTTCATGACAAAACATTGTGTCCTCTGCCAGCTTCCTGAATGGTGCTACCTTTTAACTCTCCCACTAGAGGTATGAGTCCATTTAGTCTGGAAAAGAAGCACTTTCTTTCAGGACCTGGGAAATCAGTTGTTTAAATATAGCTTGGATTACATATTAGAGTTTGAGGGAGTACACCAATATAAATCCCTCCTGTGATTACTTTTGAAACATGCCATAATGTGGCATCTGCCTGCTAAATAGCTCATCTTCATGTTTTAATTCCATATCTGTTTTAATAAAAAGCAAATGCTACAATTCTAGAAGCAGTAAATTTGATGGTGAGATATTGATCTCAATTTTTGAATGTTATGGAACATATTTATTGTAAAAGCTGGCTGTTAGGTATTTGCTTCTAAAGGACACAACGCTGATATAATCTTGTGGTTTATTTCTGTAGCAGCTAGAATCTCTTCAAGAAGAGCTACTCTCAACAGCTGTTCAAAGCCTGGAAACTGAATTAAGGAAGCTTGCTGAAATTCCTTGGCTCTGTCATGTTCTACAACTAAGTGATGATGAGGTGGGTTGTTTTTTTTGTCGTGTCAGGAGCGACTTGAGAAACTGCAAGTCACTTCTGGTGTGAGAGAATTGGCCGTCTGCAAGGACGTTGCCCAGGGGACGCCCGGATGATTTTGATGTTTTTATCATCCTTGTGGGAGGCTTCTCTCATGTCCCCGCATGAGGAGCTGGAGCTGATAGAGGGAGCTCATCTGCCTCTCCCCAGATTCGAACCTGCGACCTGTCAGTCTTCAGTCCTGCCAGCACAGGGGTTTAACCCACTGCGCCACCGGGGGCTCCGGTGGGTGAAATTCACACTTCTAAGTCTGCTTTCTATTTATTAAATGAGTAAATTCAAGTACACTGTCACCCTAAAACCCTCCTATGTATATAATGTTCATCTCTCCAAGTATTGTTATTTTTGCAGAGTATTGTAAATTGCTGCTAAATCCTACAATAAGCCAGTCCGCTGACATTATTCAAAACAAACCATCACATTATTTACTACCACCTGGAAAATGTCTTTGCTTTCTCCAGTCATACCTTAAATTTCTTTTCAAGTGCAAGCCAACTGTTATGTGCAAAGCTTACCATATTATTCTGTTGAAAGTGTTCATAGCGAACACTAAAGATATTCATCTTCAATGTATTGTCGAAGGCTTTCATGGCTGGAATCACTCAGTTCTTGTGGGTTTTTTCGGGCTATATGGCCAGTTCTAGAGGCATTTCTGCAGGCGAAACATCAGGAGAAATGCCTCTAGAACATGGCCATATAGCCCGAAAAAACCCACAAGAACTGAGATATTCATCTTCGTTTCTGGGTTCCCCGTGAAATGCTTTTTGGTAATGCATTTTGCATAGTTAGGGGCTAAAACGTAATTTATCCAGGAGGCAAGCAATTTTTTGGAAATTCAAGATATTTTAAGAAGATGTGGCACTTTTTCAAAATGTTATCTTCTTCTTTTCTTTGTTTCTCCTCAAATTTGCCTTGAACGTACATATTTGCCCATTTTCGGATGACCCCGCCAATACTGGATGCCAAATGCAGGATTAAATTCGCCTCTACTTCCTCCCAAAAAACAAACAAACAAACAAACAAAAAATCCCTTTTAAGTTACCTGAAAATCAGTTCTAGATGGTTTTCCATTCCGCTAAAGAAGTCTTTGATGGGGGCAGGAGCTGTCGAGGGAAAAAGAAATCATCCAGACTCATAATTCTAGATTCTACTATTTGAACAGCAGACATCCATTGTTTGAGCCTACCCCAAGGTGTCAAGACTCTCCAAAATGCTTTGTGGATACTATAGGCATGATAATAAATTCTCAGTTAGAATGGACAAGAAATAGTACCAACATGACCAAGGGACCAAAAGCTTAGAGAAAGAAACTACAGGCAGTACCCGTATTACAAACATCTGATTTACAAATGGCTTATTTCAGTGATAATTACATGGGCTAGAAAAAAAAGGAATATAATACTATAGGTATCCAGTTATGATGGTATATTATTTCCATTATCAGATGCATGCCTTCTCTGGAGATACAGTGCATGCTTTTTTCTACAGTGGGGAGGTGAGCAACTGCATAAGGACTGAGTGCCAATCCCAGAAGTGAAATCCTATCCCTCCCCCTGCCCCCCAATTCCGGTTTCTACAGATCCTTGGCCATTTCCCCAGATGCTGTGGATTTGGAGCTGATGCAATCTGATATGACTGGGAGCAGATCTGAGGATTTTGGAGCCATTTGGGAGGAAATTGTTATCAGAATCAGCAGGTTGCAGGGTTTAGGGATGTTCCTGGGACCTTCAGAATGGGTTTGAGAAATGGATGGTTAGTGAGGGTTCAGCTTACCCCACCTCTGATTTAAGCCTTTAGGAAGCTGTACATTTCTATCTCTAAATTAGAATGGATACAAGTTCTTATCTGCAAATATTCTCCAACAATGTTTTGGGGATCAGGTTACATAACACTTTGTGGAATAATCTTTGGGCATCTTCATCTTTTCATTTAAGCTATCCTATCCTTGAGAATTTTCTTTCTGATTTTTAGAAAAATTGATTTTTGGTATATCTTTTTTGCTACCTTTTTATTCTGTATTTAGATTTTGTAATTTTTTTTAATTTCACACTGAACTTGAAAAAAATTCCTCTCATTCTTAGGATCCTCCTTTGGAATATGCCAAAAGAAACAGAAGCACAGTATTTCGCATAGTGCCAAAGTTTAAAAAGGAAAAGTCTCAAAAACAGAAGACTAGCCCTCAGCCTGGTATGCTTTTTTTAAAAACTGCTTTGTGGGAAATTTTCAGCTTTACATCTTTCATTCCATGTGCCAATCATGACCTGTGCTTATCCTATTAAGCTTTGCGTGCCTTGTCACAGGTTGATCTCGGATGTGACTTGGAGGTGCACACTGGAGGTGTACTGATACATAAAGGATTTCTATATTATTTTGCTGATGAAATTATATTATGCATATTTCACTGATTTATCTGGAAATGGATTATCTGTCTCCTGAAGTCTTACTCTTGGGCCATTGGTTTTCAAAATCTTCCCAGGACATACTGCAGTTTCTTGGAAGCTTATCAAATGTTCCTCACTGAAAATGTCTTTCATGGCCAACAGATTCTTCCTATACTAAGCTTCCTCTGTAATATACAGTTATAAGCAAAGGTTGTGTGTTTTCCATAATGTACACTCAGTTTAAGAATAGCAACTGAGAGGACCCAAAGTTTGTTAGTGACACATATGGTTATGATATGTCATTGCCCAGAATTCTTTGATGTGATCTGGTTTCCTTGACAGATAGAACAACATTCAGAGTATCCCTAGGAAGTTAGAAAGGCAGTTGCTTAATATAATCAAAATTGCTTACATGTACTGCATTTCCTAAAAATAACTGCTAACTGGTCCTCTTCGTTATGAATCAAATTGAGCAGATATCACGATTTTCTTTCCTCATTAATATAGACTATATGCATGGCACCTCATTTCTATTTATAGAATAATCTGATAAAAGGTTTCTTTAGCAAGCAATTCCCCCCTCTTCTCCCAGACAGCAAACCAAACAACAGAACTGAACCTAATAACTTGTTGAAAAGAGGAGGATACTTTACTGAAAATATTAACCAATTAGCTATTGCTAACAAATATTATTTGCCATATTGTGTTTTTTGAAGTGCAGTAGGAAAAAATAAAATATGTGACAATCAAAACACTAGCTTACATACTACTACTTGTTCAGGTTTTTTGTGGGCAACTAACCTTAGAGAACAATTGTTGAAGGAACTTTTAAATATGGATGATTTGCTGAATTAAGAATGGCAGTTGTTTATGTTTCTATGAATACCATTTTTTCCAACTTACACTGTAAACAATAAAATATGATTAGTGTAGAGCAGAGAATACACAAACTTTGTACTACATATAGTAATATGGTTAGAAATAAATTACTTGATGTTTAGAAGCTTGGTAGCTTTGATGCTGAAGCTGAAAGCATGGCTGCAGTCCAGATTGTCCTGTCCTCCCCCGCTCCCCCATACATTCTCCTTCCCAGTAACTTGCATGAAAATAAACTACTTTTTTTCTTCATTATATCCATATCTATAGATGACTTTCTGTCACTGCATTGTTCTATTTTCCACTCTCTATGGCCTAACCTTTGCTTGTAATGCAGTTGAGCATGTAGAAATTAAGGGGGTTCTGCTTTTAACTTTAGTAGTTCAGAAATGGGGCACAGATGAAGTTGCTGCTTGGCTGGATCTGCTCAGTTTGGGAGAGTACAAAGAAATCTTCATCAGCCATGACATCCGAGGCTCTGAGCTTTTACATCTGGAAAGGCGAGACCTTAAGGTATTTTCTTTGTGCTATTTTTCTGCTTACAAGAGTTTTTTTTAACCCAGAGATTATTTAAAATCTTTCCTCTGATCCCAATCTATTTGTGTGCTTATAGCTTGGCTTTCAGTGTGCAAACTTTCAGAACACTCACACATGCATGCACACACAGCCCAAATTAATACACTGTGAGATTATACTTGCATTTTGAAATGTGACTGGTGAGGGCTTGTTTAAGAATGTATGCAGGCTCATAGTAGAATCAGGATTGGGGAAGTCACTAACTTGTGTGGACATCATTATACTGCTAACTGTGTAAGTAGCATAATTTTAAACTAACAATGTGTTATAAAAATGTGTAGAAAATAACTTGAGAAGTACTAACTGACCTTATGATTATCACAATGCATATAATACAAAAAGTCATTTAAAATGTTTGCTGAACTTTCTCTAGCAATACAGACTGGGTATCCATTATTCAGGCTGGGTATCCATTATCCAAAGTGCTCGGTACCTGAAATGTTTCGGATTTTGGAGTTTTTTTCTGACCTATAGGGACAGAGGTAGTGCCTAATACATGCCTGGTCCAGCTTGTTCCAGGTTCATATGCACTGAAACTAGCTTTTTCACTAATACTACATGCTACCATTGTTTTTGTCTGCCAAGAAAAAAAGATGATACTAACAGAACATATTTACAGAAAAGATCATACGTGGACCTTGTTCATAAGTACTTAGTGGTCTGTAGGTAAACATTAGAATTTCTGCAAGTACCTTTTAATGTATTTATTTACTTGATTTTTGTTCTGTCTCAAAACTGAGGCCCAGAGCAGCTTATACCGAAATTAGCATGTACGGGTAAAACACGCAAATTATAATAAAACACAATTTAATAATTGCTAAGATTAAAACATAGTAACTTGACAAGCTGTTAAAATACATCAGTAAAAAGTGCATCCTCTATCACAGATGCCAGTCACAATGTCTTGAATAACTGGTACACTTGTGCTTCTGCTAGAAGACAGAAGTGTGGGTTCAAAGCTAAAGTAATATAGAATAAGAGTAAAATGAGACATTAGGAGACTAAGACAGTTACAGTGATATACAGTGCAGCTGTGTAAGGGGTGGGAATCTTTACCAGTAAGCAGTCAGGTTTAACCTTCTGTGAACTTGAAAATCCTCTCAGGACTATTATTTTAGCCTGTTCCTTTGTTCAGGATACTTAACCACATTAAACTCAGAAGACTTTAATAGACTTAGTTGAGACAAAATTATGTGTAGAAGTGATATTTCAGGTATTATGCACTATTCCTTTAGCCTGCTAATTTTGCCCTGAAAATACTGCCACTGAACCAATAATCAGATAAGGGTTTTAGAAACAAATATGCTGGAAGCTCAAAGCAACTAATGAAGACTGATTAATGCAATCAGTATCAAAATAATCCAGAGACAGAAAATGTAGGCCATCTTATATATTCATGTATGAGTCTAGAAATTTTAGTGAACACTATACCTTGGCTCTTACCAACAAAAGAACCATTATCTTCTCTGAATGGCAGGAGAATCTAAAAGAAGCACCAGCCCATCTACTCTCTTCACCGAGGCCATGGGGCACAGGGCAGCTTACAGCATAAAAAGGCAAATATCCAATGCAATACAGTAATAATAAATAAACAATACAATTAAATAGTGTAAACAATCACTTATAAAAGCAATAATATATAAAACTGATAAAAACATATCAAATAACATCAATGAGAGCAAAAAAATGTAAAGCAATTTCTATAAACCCTAAGGACAGCTCTTCAATCGTTTGTCTCTCCATAAGCTAGGGTACACAGGTTTTTAATTGTTTTCTAAACGAGGACAGTGATGGGGCTCTTCTAATATCCTTCGGGAGAAAGTTTCAGAGACAAGGGGCAATAGCAGGGAAGGCCCTCTGTCTTCTCCCCACCAACCTGGGTTGAGATGGGGGTGGAATTGAAAGGAGGAGTGCAGTGTTGATTAGATAGTCTGGACCCGAACGGTTTAGGGATTTAAAGTTAACGACCAGCACTTTAAACTGGTTTGCATGTCTACCTAAGGGAAACAAATATAAAGTAGGAAAACAAATGAAGGTAAGTGTAGAAGTGTAGCTCAGGTGACTTTTCATACTGGTACAAAAATTTCAATGATCCCATCCTATGAAGTCTCTCTAAAGGCATTTAATTCATCCCAGTCTTCCTTCTGTCTTGATTATGTAATGCAAGTCGGGGTAACTGTTCCCCAACAGAATCAACAGACTGCTTCTTTAAAATGATATTCTGCAAAATAGGGTTTTCCCTACAGCCATTTCCATGACACAAAGGCATGGGTTTGGCATATAAAATACCTTGTAACTTTTCACAGTCATATGTGATTATGTATAATGTGCTATACCAGAGCATGCATTGCTACTGGGTTCGTTGAGAAGGACCTTGGAAACCATTCAACAGCTGCACTAATCAGAAATGAGCATAAGGGGGCAATAAAGCACTGCCGGGTGTCTGGAGTTAACCTATGAAATAAGAAAGACTCTGGATTCAAAGAATGAATCTGACGAGGGAAAAAGTTTGCATTTTCAAATGAAGTTCAGAGTGGATAAGAACAGCAGGAGATGAAAAAACTTTAAAGTTCAACGAAGGAAGGAAGGGGAGGGGGGGAGGAATCCTCTTCTAGACAAATCAGTTTGAGTTCAAGTTCAACAAGTTCAAGTTCCTTCTACATTTTACAAATATTTGCATAGAAGAATTCAACACTATTCTTTTGAGAGAATGTATTACATTTCTGCCTACTCTTAAAATGTATAACTGGAGTTAAAAACAAACAAACAAAACCAAAGCACCCCAGCATTCCCAATATCCAGTTTAGCTTTAATTCTGAAGAAGCATCTCTTTTCCTGTTGAAGTCTTTCATGTTCTTCTTACACGTCACTGAGAATGGGCCTTTATTGAATACAAAGCTGTGTTGTGAGGCAATAGGGGTAAACCAACCTTTCATTCACTTGAAAGTAACTACAACTGAGATGAACAAATTAGAGGAGCAGACTTGCCTCCCACCAAAGTTGCAGTATGAATGGACCCATGGAAAAATCTGGAATGCCTAGAATTGCCAAGCTGTTGGTTTTCCTGGTCTTTGGGCAGAATCTGCCATTTGCCAGGTGGAGATGGTAAATGAAGGCTTTCTCGCCAATTGGTTGTCCAAAGCTAAGTGCAAAAGCAGAAAACTCTCAAATCTGCTTTAAATTGACTTGATTTAATTTAGGCAGGGGTTTGAGACATTATGGAGCAGTTAGGGTCCCTGCATAGAGAGCTGGAGGTGACAGATGGAGCTCATCCATGCCCTCCTGGATTCGAACTTCTGAGCTGTTGGTTTTCAATCCTGCCGGCACAAGGCTTTAACCCATTGAGCCGCTGGGGGCTCCTTAGTTACTCAGAGGCTACTCAGCTTCCTGAGAAGCTGAGTGGAAGGTTTTATGGAAGAGAAGAAAGCCTGATAAGCTGAATAAGAGCATTCTATATGGCAGAGTGTTGTTGTGGGAAGTACTAGATCTTTTTTTGGGGGGAGGGGGTATGTTGTTTTTAACCTAAAAAAGTAATATGGTTCATTCACCAATGGGTTGTCACATCCTGCAGTTGCAAAGAGTACATCTGAATGCTCTACTCTGCCTCTGCATAAAGAAAGGCCAATGTTCTCGCACAATGTCTCTATTTTATCCTTCTCTCTGACATACCAATTATCCATGTTTGGGTTAAGAAATTAAGAGTTAAAAAAACTCTCCAAACATAAGAAAACTCCATCTGTCCTCTAAACGTTATAGCCCCAGAAAACCTAAGTAAGATTGTATTGGCTTGGACTTTGGGGTACTCATTATTGGAATCAACTCACTTGGTCCTTATGTACCCATTGTGGAATTAAAGATGTCAAACACAATAGAGATATTCACCTCCCCATGTTTATAGTAATAAGAGAAAGATGCTTCATTCGTCTAGGCTATCCAGCCATTAAAACAAAGGAATTTTCATCAGTGTTTTGAGAAAGAAAAGGGAAGCACACTTGAAATATATCAGTAGAAGGAACTGCACTACAAATAAAACAGATTGTTATGAGACTTTATGAGAGATGTACAGTAATTTGGAAGACTGTTTAGAGCTTTTCTTTAAAGTAGATTGTTTTTACAGGAGCTGATTCCAAAAGAGATAATTTCTAGATTTACTATATTACTGCCATTGTAAAGCAACAGTATAAACCCTTTTGTTGTATAAATTCTTAGTGGGTAAGAGATATTCTGTCTATTTTTTTCATTACTAGCTGTATCCCTTTTCAGGGTACATGCATCACAGGAGTTTCTTCACAATAATCTCTATATACAAAAATGTGGTACTGCTCATTCTGAAATGTATGTCAGTGCGTATAAAGTGGCTTTCCTGCCTGTGTACTCAAGAGTAATATAAATACATTGAACTTGATAAGTGATCTCGTGCATGTTGTATTTCATCACACAGAAATGATCTGTTGGGAACATGTATGTGTTTAAAATTGTCCTTGGCTATTGTTCTCTGATGGAGAGTTGTCCGATTTTCTAAGAGATGTAATCTAAACTGGGCTTTTTTGAGGCATAAAAATACCGAAACACAAATCGGAAGTGGTTTGGTTGGAGAAATCTTCATGCTATAGATACCAGTAAATAAAATTTTAAGAAATTTGAGAAATCCTGTGTTATAAATTCTTAACAGTTATGTTACTCATAATGATCTTCATTGTTGTCGGTATTTTGGTGCAACTACCCAAGACCAAACTAATCATATGAATCTATGTTTATAATATAAGAACTACACCAGTGCTGTTGCTTAATGTGGAATACCTTCCATAAATTCTTTCCTTTGATTGTTTTCTCCCTCAATGAAAATGAGGTTGTTGGCCAAGATTATTAAAGATTAGAGGTCAATAGATATTTTTTTGTTTTCTGAAAAGTGAGCTTTATTCTGTAAAATGGTCTTTTTGTTCTCCTTGTTTTCTAGGACCTGGGGATAACGAAGGTGGGTCATATGAAGCGAATTCTCCAGGGAATTAAAGAACTTGATAGGACCACCTCCGTAGCTGAAGCGTAGTGCTATTGCTTCCGTTCTAAAGAAAGAAACACTACTTATGCAAAGCTGGGGAATCATGTAACCTTCTGAATAGGTTACTCCATGGATGAGTGAGCATCAGTATGTGACAAATGTATTGTGTTTGGGTTGTCATTTGACAAAAGAACTAGAAGTAAGAACTTGAAAAGATGTGCCTAAAGATGCTGTGAAGTATATTGTGAAGAGCTGTTGAAATGTATATGTTCGGGTAAATATGTTTCCCAAGGTAACTTATTTATTGCCAAACAACATATGATGTAGTTTTTGGTGCAACATCTAATAACACTTGGTTTGAAGCATTCCTAAGGAATAAGCTTACCTGCAATCTCTTACATAAGTGTGGCAAAGACTGGTGATGTTTGGAGGTTTGGCTGACACTGTGATACCTCAGCAGCTTCTCACTTTCTTTTCCTCTCTTTGCCTCCTTCCTTCACTGGCCAAGAAATCAGGCTGGGGACATATGTTATACCCATAGGGAAGCAAACTCTAATGCATGGATTCCCTAACCGAACATTTTCTTGCATGACACATCAGATACTTAAAACACTTGAAATTTTTTATATCTGTTTTTAATAAGATTTAATTTATTACAATTCTCTGTGTCATATTGCTTACTTTGTCTCATGTTGCTACTTTGTCAGATTTTTTTCTGAAATGTTACCTAAATGTGGTGTATTTGGTGGATATATATATATATTTCTGTCATAATCTAGCAAGGTATGTGAACTAAATATGTTCTAAAACAGTTTTTGTGCTCTTGATTCAAATATCTTCCAAGTATTTTTATAATACTGGTACCTCACAAATTATGTGCTGGCTCCCAAGAGAGAGTATTACCTGAATATTTCCTTTTAGGCTATAAAATATGCAAAGTTTATTTCTTATAGCCTTTCTTCAGGCAATGGCTAGGTTAAGCTAATTGTCTGGATTTCAAAGCATTACAGTGTTCTGACTAATAGTGAGGCATGTATTTGCTAATTAAGTGGCAACAGCCTAATTGTATACAGTGACCTAAGATTACTTCATATTGAAGACGCCACAGGGACCAATTTTGCGAATATCAGGGCTTGATTATGCAATTTTTATAAAATCAGTAAATGTTACAAATAAGGTGAAGTTCATAGTATGCAGTTTATCACTATATGGCATGCCTGGTTTCCTGTACACATTAAACAGAAACTTCTTTCAGTATAGAAATTTATAACCCTCTTCAGAAATGTATAATGCCTGAGATATATTTGAAAGCTGTTTTTCTTAAGTGTAAATGTTTATATGATTAGGTAATGGTCTAAAAATGTCCATTTGACAACATTAATGTCTTTCTAGAGTTTACTACAAATTGAATTCTTTTTTATTACCCTACTGGGCCAGTGGTTTTTCAGGTATCATGCTTAAGGGTTTCCCATTTTTTCAAAAAGGATACCAGTTCTAAAATTTATCTGAGACATATATTTAAAGATTTTCTAACTATATAAGACCTTCATAGCCACAAGAGAATTCCAGCTTATCACTGGCTAGCTGTGCACTGCCTGATGACTCCTGATGGTCATAGGCACAATTAAAGAACTCAAAAACCAATCAGGATGCAAACGGCTTGTGCTGTGTCTGCACCAAGACCCTTGGTTTGTCATTTATCTCAATGAGTCAAAATCAAAAGCTTTCTCATTCCTGGCTTGTTTAGAAGTTTAGAACGTGGGAAAAAAACAATCAAGAGCATTGGACAGTATGCCAAACACACTGTGAACAATAAGCTAATTTTTGCTTATAGTTGCATCTGAGTGCAGCCATTATCTACTCAAAGACTCGCAATCTATTTTGAACGTACATTGGGCCCTCCACATTCTCTTGGATTAGGAGCTCAGGACACCAACATAAGTGGGGAAACTGCAAATGAAAAAAAGCACTTCTTTAACCCAAGAGAACATTTTTTGAGGAATCTCTAGGTCCTCCAACGCAACTCAGCAATCAACTACTGGCAGAAGCTGACCAGAGTTGTGCTGGAAGACATAGAGATTCTTCTAGAAAACATACTCATCAAAAGTCAAACCTTCAAATGTGGAGGACTGACTGTAAGTGTCACTTTCCCTTTTTACTTAGGTAGCAGTGAGCAACGGGGATCTTACATAATGCTACTATAAGCCCAAGCAATGTAATCCATTGAAATATTTATGAAATAAATTTATTAAGATCAAGTACCAATAGTTGTTCCCCAAATTGATGAAAGCAGATGATAAAAAGGCAGGAATTTCCTCTAAAAATAGGTGAAGATTTACAAAAACAGTGTTAAGTATCCAATAGGTTTACTTTGATACTAATACTGTATGAGCAGGTTATTTGTTTCATATGCTTTAAAAGATCAGTAATTAACACTGACCATTTATTGTGAGGTGAGACTTGTTATTTCTTTAGTGGGATATTTCAGGTTGGGTTTTTTTATAATCTGTGGTGCAAAATGCGCACAATAGGAATTTGCTAGTTTCATGATGATGAAAATAAAATGCACCATTCATTTAATCACCATATAAAAGCAGGGGCAGCTGTGTGATATATCAGTTTGAGTACGGGATAAATATCCCTTATCTGAAATTCCAAAATCCAAAAAAGTCCACATGGATAGCCAAGATAGTGACACCTTTTCTTTCTGATGGTTCAGTGTAGATACGGTTTGTTTCATGTACAAAACATATTTTAAAAACTTTCTTCAGGCTATTTCTTTAAAGTGTATGTGAAACATCAATGAATTTCACATTTCGACTTGAGCTCCATCACTAGGATATATTATATACATATATGCAAATACAGATATCTCAAAATCAAAAACTCATTGGGCCTCAAACTTTCTTGATAAGGGATACTTGAACTGTATTCGTCTAGGACTCTAGGATGTGAGAATTTGAACCTCCATTTAGCCATGGAAATCCACTGGATGATCTTGAACAGGTCACACTATCCCAGCCTCAAAGAAAATCAGTAATCAGCTCTTGCCAATCAATTTTTGCCAAGAAAACCCACAGCAAGTTTACTTTTGGGGTGCCATAAATTGGAAATGACTTGAAAGCACACAACAGCAAAAACAACAAAACTCACAAAAGGAACATACTACTTTTTAAATTATAGAAATAGTGTTTTCTCAGATTTCTCTTGCAGAAGCTAATTATAATTGTAGGGATTAAGTAGTGAAGTTTTACATCAATGTCCCTGCCAAGATACATGCTTATTTGGCAGATAGCTAGTACTATAATGTTGCTACTCTTTTTTAAAAACCATACTTTTGCCAGCCTCCTTATTTTGCAATACGTGTTCGCAGTTCTTTGTAAAAGCCTTCTATATCCTCTAAAATGCCAATATTTTCAGCAGTTGATAACTGCCAGTTGTAGATTTCTAATACAGAAAAAGGCTACATCTTTTCCAGTGGCTCTACTCCAAAGATTTGTGGGCACTTTTATATGGACACAGGCTGCCCTCTAAAAAGAGGTGAATGAAGAGGTCTTTTTCATTCACTTGGACATTCACCAGGGGAGGGCAGGCCTATGCATGCCTTGTGATGTGTAGCTGCAAAAGCCTCAACTTTTGAGGATAAATAACATAAATAATATGAAGTACCACATACCAAAGATTAGAACACATGAAGCTTAAGATTAGTATAGTCAGTAACTTAATATAGATTTATGGGGGCTTGGTTTGTATATGAAAACAGGTAACTTGAAAGTGATTACAAAATAAAATGGCTGTGGGTGGTGGATTTTGAAACTGGCATGACAGATGTGATGACTTAGCTTCCTGAAAGAGCAGAAGACACTGTGAGTTAAACATTTATATATTGCCTCAAATGACATTGATATCTATTTCTGATTTTTTTTTACTCATTTTTATTGCATTGTTTACTCAAAAAGTTACATTTTTTGGTTTTAAAATACATAAAGCTTTCTTCAAATAGGCCTTCTGACAAAAGCTAAAATGCAGAACTAATATAATATCTTAAATGTATTTAACCTAAGAAGGGAAGCTATAATTGTATTAATTCTGATCATGTCAGTTTCCACATGTAAGACCCATGTTTTTATAGAATATCAATACATGTGATATAGAGAATAGCATCTTGATTATAATACTCTGGACAGGCACAGGGAGTTGTTTTTGCTAAACATGAGTGTTTAGTATTTGAAATAGAATTTCCACCAGTTTTCCTACTAATCAAACTTTAAGAGTATTCCATAGCTTCTTTTAACATTTTTTTTCATTCTGTGCATTCACTGAACTATTACCAACAAATACTAAAATATATTAATATGCTTCTTGCTTGTCAACTGGGAATGGATGCCAAGTCACTTCAAAAGAGCTGTTCTATAAGTTCTTCATCATATTTAAGTTTCCCCCATTAGGTTATACAGATCACATTTGTTTTCTTATTGTGGTGGTAACCTTATGTTTTATCTAGAAGGCCCTCTAATTTAATGTGTGACTGCAAAGAAAGAGAGCAGCAGAAGAGAGCAGCTCTAGCAGCTTTCCATAAATATCGGTATTTTTCTCTTGCACAAGCAATAGCACACTCGTTCTTGTGGTCGCTAGGAACAAAAAAAGCATGTTGGGTTTATTCTTGAGTCTAGTTCAGAACTAGAGTTCAATTGGTGCAACATTTGTACTAGGGGAATAACACCATTGCATACTGTTCATAATGTATCACATGTACAGATAAGAGAGATTACAGAAATACATATTATGTTTTTAAAGGGATGAGAAATCTTTGGCCCAGAGGCATTTTGAAATTAAACTACTGCACTTTATAGTCAGAATAGCATTAAGGATTGTAAAAATCATAGCCTAAAAAATCTGAAGAGCTATTTATTTATTGTGTCAGAATACAATTGGGGGATAGTTACAATGTATCTGAAAAAAACACAAAGTTAAAAACTTGGCATTGTACTAGATTTCCTTTGAACAGAAGCTGGCTGCTTCGAGTGTCTCTGGTGTCGCTGTGAGACGGTCCTCCATTGTGCATGTGGCGGGGCTTAGAATGCATTGTAGTAAGTGGTCTGTGGTTTGTTCTTCTCCATACTTGCATATCAAGGACTCCACCCTGTATCCCCATTTCTTAAGGTTAGCTCTGCATCTCGTGATTCTCTCACACTGAAAGTGACTGAAGAGCTAAAAGTTTATCATCATGGTGGAAAGAGTTTGAAATACTATAGTATGTTCCATGTATGTACCATATTAGATCTAAAAAGAGAAAAATTGTATAATTTTGGTTCTTAATATCTATGATGACATTGCTAGAGTCTATATTTCTTTTCATATATATGTAACCTTTGGTTAGCAAACATGTGTGAAAGTTCTACTAACCACCATGTGTATATTTTGTGTGCATGCACATGTGATAGTCTCAAACAAGTGGAATCCATTGTTGGATTAAAGGGATATTGCAAACTGCAATAACAAAATTAAATCCAAGACACTGTGCAAATTACTTAGGAGTGATAGTTTAATTGGAAATTGATTCTGCCATTGAAGCATTTCTTAGATCCCATTGATTTAAGTGGAAGAGAAGTGGGCATATTAACAAATTAAATATGTGTAATGTATCCACAGTAGTGTATAATGTATTGACTCTGTGTTTGATTTTATTAATATTTAAGTCTGGTGTTGAGATCAAATAAAATTCTTGTTAATTGAGCACAAAAATTCAAATTGGAAAGAAAGAAAGAAGCCTACATCATTGGCAAAGTACCACATTTATTTATGGTTATCTTGTTTGTTTGTTACTTTAACAAGAAAATACATTGTTAAAGAATGCTTCAATAGCAATAGAACACTATTATTCAATCATGTATCTGGATAGTTCATGCTGAGGGTGAAATAGAGGGTGAAATACCCTCTATGGTCCCGTCTACACTGTCATATAATGCAGTTTCAAACTACATTACATGTTTTGTGTGGCATCATGTAATGCAGTTTGACCACACTGTATTAAAGAAGTCTTCATTGAACATATAATGCAGTTTCAAACTCAATTGTATGACAGTGTATATAGGGCTGCTCATAATGACAGTCTTTTGTAATTTGATGGAGTTCAGGGATGATATACATTTGTAAATAGTAAAAATATAGTATGATCTTGTGGCTTCTTTATAGTGCAAAGAAAGACATTTTACATTCAGTATTCTTCTTAATGACATTTGTAAAAAAATAATAAACAAACCTGACTAAAATGTCATTCTGAAATCACAGAGAATATTCAGGTCATGAAACAGAGAGTACATACATGTTTAAGACCTTAACTAGGTTCATCTGGATTTCAGCACATGAAATTCCACCGCTGAAATTCAGGCACCTTCAAGTGTAGTTGTCCAGCTGAAAAACATGTTTTGTTTTGTTTTTAAATCAGTTATTACCTGAACTCTATTAATCAGAGTTTTAGGGTTTAACCAAAAATAATCTTGTAGATGCACAGCACATCATTGCTAATCTGTAGTGACTTACAGGTGAAAGTCTGGAATTTTATAGTCATGTTTATATGAAATCATTTAGCTAGCTGCAACAATGAGTGTAAACATTGAAGAACATAAATTGTTTTGGGCGCAGAATTCTGCAGCCTTAAATAACCTTCAGCTGGGTTGTTAATGAAACATTTACATTTGTGAATGATTGCTTCAAATTTAGCAGTCCAAATTGTCACTGCATCATCCTCTTAGACCAACCAGATCCCTTGGTGCTTTTCTGAGAAGTTAACCATAATGAATTGAACAGAATTTTCTTCAAGGAAGTGCCTATCGAATTTCAGTCTTATCGTAATGATCCACCTGGTTTACAATAATGAAGAATATGTAAACCATAAGCATTTTGTATTGTGATAAATTACAATTTCTCCCATAAGCATCAGTGCAGTCACAGAAGTTTACAATAATGGCTGCTTCCATACTTTCCAGGCGGTGTTGCAAGTAAATTTACATAAAAATACCCATAGAGAATTATACCTATCGTAAAATTATTTTAATAACACAGTTTTTGTATAACGCAGCATCAGTTTAAGAAATTAAGTGAGCAAGGGTGAAGTCACAGAGTTCTGTACTAAATAAAAGATTCCCAAGAGGTATATGGCCAAAAAGGCCATTAAGCAGTTTGAATACACAAAACCACATTATACATGCCATCTTACATTTACAAATCTTTTTTTTTCATTCCAACATCTCCTGGGCTCTAAGAAACAGAAGCAAGCAATTTCTGTTTCGGAGTTTGTCCCCCTACCAGTTTGAGTAGGTCTGTCTACAATCATAAGTGAAACTCAAGCTACCAAATACATATTTATTTAGAAAACAGCTTTTCAAAGATGACAAATTTAAAATAGCACTGAGTTTCTTGGACTAAATCTGACTTAAAATAACACTGGTTTCATTTCTTTTTTTCAGAAAATATCTTTTGAGACCAACCTGTAATACTCTGTAGCTCTTATGTATTTCTCTATGCTGCTTCCATCTTTTTCTTTCTTTCTTGAGAAAAGATTTAAAGGTGAGAGTAGTGAGCATTAAGTTGGAAGCACCCAGATTGATCTTGTTATCCAATAGCCGTGGAGAGAGAAAAGAAATGTGGTTTGTAGGACAAGACAATGTGGTTTGTAGGACAACTGCTTTGCTGCAGTTGCTGCATGTATAGATTCACTGTGATGTTTTAGCATATATCCTGGACTGATGTCAGTTTGTTTTGAAGGAAATGAGTATGTTCTGGAAAAGATTGCTGTTCCAAGTCAGAGATGAAAATTGTGTGGCTTTTCAGATGTGTTCTCCAGCAATACTAACCAACTGAGCTAATGGTGAGGAATGTTAGGCGTTACCATTCATCAACTACATTTGGAGGGCTGCCCAGTTCCAGAATTATCCTGTTGAACCTGTTGGCTATAGAATAAATGCTGTAATTCACTGATTGCAAGATGCACTTTTTTCCATTTAAGGAGCTCCAAAAAGCAGTTGTGTCTTACAATCAATGGCATCTTAGATTCACCGGTTGCGGGGGGGGGGGGGGGGGCTAAACAGGGAAAAAAGTACAGGGAAAAATGGTGGCAGCCCACACCATTTTACCCTCAGCCAATTTGGCTGAGCTAAGGCCACTTCCTGTTTCCGCTGCCTCTCCAACGGAACCATAGGCTTAGTGAGAAAGATTTATGAAGAGAACTTCAGGTTTCTTCACATTTGGACATTTGGAAGTAATGTTGTCTGTTTAAGTCTTATAAGATGCAACCTCCTTTTTGGTGTGTCAATTTTAGTGGGGGGGGGGGAGAATTTTCAATTCCAAGATTCACTGCCCTTTTTGAAACTTCAATTTTTGAACAAAAATATTTAAATTCTTAGAAATTTTTTTGTAATTTCTTCCTCCCCCTCCTAACCTCCCACCCATTGGAAGTAAGACTGTTGGAGAAACAGAGGATTTTTTTTAAAAAAATTCTAAAATGTTGAAAAAATTCTTTTTAAAAATTTAAAGGGGAATTACCCAATAATCAATAGCAATGAAGTAGCAAACACTAGCAGAAGCTACACATTTCAGCCTAAGCCATTCAACTTTGTGGCATTGACTGGATATTAGTTGAATCTGTGTTTAACAAGTTGCTTTTATTTAGGTCCCTCAACTTGTAGATGGGATTTTGTAAACATTCTAAAAGTGAGTTGATATCTGTAGAGAATGGCAAGTTAGAATAATAGAATAATAGAGTTGGAAGCGACCTCATAGGCCATCTAGTCCAACTTACTGCCATGCAGGAAAAGCACCATTAAGTTCTTTCAACAAACTGAATAATCTGTTAATGATTTTGCTACCCTAATTTTTTTTATCATGTAAATTATGAATTAATGATATATAGGTTTGGTTAATAAGGCCATTGCTGTACAGGTCTACTCAGAAGTAAGACCTAGTGCAATGGTTTTCAAGCTGTGGGTCCCCAGGTATTTTGGCCTACAACTCCCAGAAATCCCAGCCAGTTTACCACCTGTCAGGATTTCTGGAAGTTGAAGGCTGAAACATGTGGGGACCCACAGATTGAGAACTAATGCACTAGGTCTTACTTCTGAGTGACCTAGTGAGTGTTTTATCACAGGTAGCCATCCAAGTGGTGTTTGACAGCAATCCTCATAAGCCCAAGCCAATGGTAAGGAATGGCAGAAATTACAGTCTAATAAAAGTATCTGTTACCATGATCTGGTGGATCCACACTTGATAAACACTTATCCTTCTGCTACCATGTCTCTGAGGTCTTTGGGGAGCTCTCCCAGCTACTGATCATCCACACCATCCCAGGGCAGCAGGAAAAATGGGTAGACTCACCACCCCAGGAGCATTGTATCCACTGGTTGCCCCTCTCTTAAGATTTCCACCTCAGTCATACATTGAAATAATAATCTTTTGTACACAGGCATTGAGCTATTATTTATTTTATTTATTTATTAAAAATTCTGCCCTGCTTTAAAAAAATATTATGTAATAATATGTAATAATTACAGTAAAGAGTGAAAGACTGAAAAGACAGTAAAAGCATTGAAAACTTTATTTCTGAAAGGCTATTGAAATCGCATCCATTTGAGAGTTTTGTTTACATTAAAAACAAATTGCTTTACATTCCAGAACATATCATCCTGAAAGGGCAATGTGTGCAATGTGTACATCATCTTAGAGGATGAGTCCCATCAATGCATCTAAATATTAGAAAATAGAAACAATCATTCTTGTCGTGAAGACTCAAATTGTGTCACGGGAAAACGATATTTTTAATGCTGAATTATTCATAAATAACAAGTTTAAGATATATATCTATGTCTGTCTGCCTATATCAGTGCAGTTTTTTCATCCCCACCCTCCTTATTGGTAGCTTGAAGGGTTAGGATTGTAATCAGGTGACTGTGGAAATGGCCATAGTACAGTGTTGGGAGCAACCTCCTGCATAGCAAAATCCTTCACTGCATACAGGCAGAAAATGTCTGCTAGCAGAAAACCCACAAACATGGCACAATGTGACAGAGTTATAGGGAAGACAGTTTTACATCCCAATATTCACCATTATGCATGGTGAATAGGTGACATGATAGCTTTATTTTAATATTTGAAAAGAAATTAACATCTTGTTCCAAAAACTATTCAATTTCCCAAGAGGTACCAGCTACTGTGATCAATGCTCAGGAATTCTGGGAATTGAAGCCCAAAATTCCAGTATATGGAGTACAAAAAATTGAGAACAACTTCCTTAGGTGAACCTATCGCAATAATTCAATCTCTGTCATCCATGAAGATAATGTAGGTAATCCTGTCATTTCTGTAAATCCAGGGACATTGTGCATACAGTGTTTAGTACTAGTACAAGCCACCAGATATTGAAATATGGCAGCAGAATCATTGCTCTGTTCCTCCTCATGGCTTCCTGTTGTTCTTCTGTCCAAATGTTTACAGACTCATAGGCAAACCTAACTCAGCATCAACATTGTAGTTTAAGAATTAAAGATTTAATCTGACAAAAGACAAACCCCACTCTGTAACAAATATTGCTAAGAAAAACCCATTATATATTTGCCTTAGGATCACCATAGGATGGAAACAACTTGAAGGCACCCAACAACAAGGCCCACCTTACTGTATAGGATCACACTCTTTTAATAGTTTAGATATTTATAATCGTGCAATTTAAGGCAACAGAAGTTTTGACTATCATTTATTGTATAACACAGGAAACTCAACCTAAGATAACTTAACAAAGTTTTTATTGTCTATAATGTATATTATCTGCAAGTAATAAAACCCATTTTTCATTGTTCTTCCCCACTACAGTTATTTATTCATTGGGTTACTGTAAGTTTTTCGGGCTGCATGATCACATATAGATTTGAATCTCATTCCAAGATATCTTACTTTGTATATACAAATATTCCAAAAAAATTGAAAAAATCCAAAACATTTCTACTCCCAAGTATTTCAGATAAGGAATATTCAACCTGTACTTTCCCATTCCACAGTTGTCCTGCATCTTCGCATGATTTTTAAAAAGCTCCGGAAACAAAATTTTAAAACTCTCCACCAACAGTTTTAAAAAATAATGCAGAAATGTACTAGTAATTTACCTGAATATACTGGAGCTCAGTCTTGGAGTTCTGCAGGCATCAAACTCCTCCTTAAAGATACGATCCAGCAAAAGTTAACTACTCTTCTCATTGATTTTCATTGTGTAATAATGCATATGGATAAATCTTTTATCGCTTAATTGGGATTTAAAAGTACTTAAGGTCTTTTTCGTGTCAGGAACGACTTGAGAAACTGTGGCTGCATCTTTCCTGAAAGACTGAAATAGATACAGGAACTGGCAAAATTATAGTACTGTGTTGTTTCCCCAAAAAGCTCAATGTGTTACTTTCAGTTTTAATTTAGAACTATTCCGCAGTTGTGCGAGATGCTAGAAAACTGCTTTTTAATAAGCATGAATTCACTATGCAATCAGTTGCTGCCATGATAAAATAATAATAATAATAATAAACTTTATTTATACCCTGTCATCATCTCCCCTAATAGGGACTCAGGGCGGCTTACATGAGGCCAGGCCCAAACAAATTACAGCAAAGTAAAACCCAAAACACAAGCAACAAGCAACAGCATCATAATTACATAATAATAAAAGAAAAAGAAAAAAAACATATAAATACATTAGCAATATAAAATTACAATCACAGTGACAATGGGCGGGCCACATGTGCAGATTAAAATGATTAAAAACTCAGGTGAGATAAAAGGAGGAGCAGGTTATTTGCAAGGGGAGCTCATTAAAAACAGGGTTGTGGAACCAAGCTTTCCCACAAGGGGGGTGGACGTGTACTCCAGTGACAGAAACGTTGAAGCTGAGTGATAGTGTGAGGTTATGTACCTAAATCTGGACCAGAACAGTTGTATGTTTAGTGCGGTTTCACATAGTTGAAATCCATGCTATTTTAACCCAATGTAAGCTGAGAACTAAATTTCTCCTGCTAAGCAATGATTTATTATGTGATGATTTGTGTGTGTGTTGCAACTACTCCATAGTTTTGTGAATCAAGTGTTCACACCAACCCAGGTGTGCAAATACTAAGTATTTGTGGTATGCTTAACAAAGGCGCCAAACAGAATTAGATATGAG